GATCGTGTGCCATTCGCTGAGCACTAGTCCTCAGTTTTGCGGTTCGTGCTATGAAATGTACTACAAATTAGTACTAATGTAAAGGAATTGTTCACCTAGAAATGCAAATTTTCTCATTTACGCATGATGTTCCAAGACTATGTGAGTTTCTTCCTAATTTTGAACACAAAAGAAGATATTTTAAGAACCTTTGGAACCAGACAGTTGACGGTAGTCATTGACTTCCATAGGTTTAAAAAATAATAATTCTTACAATGGAAGTTAATGGATGCTGTAAACTGTCTGGTAACCAACATTCTTCAAAATATCATCGTTTTTTAATTGACAATTTTAATTTTCGGGTGAACGGTCCTTTTTGTCATATCATGAAGGTGTGCAGCTTTACCAGCAAATGTCAGTTTGTAGCAACTAATACTTTAATCGTTTGTGACATTCATTAGCTGTTATTTTTGTTTTGTTTTTCCTTGTAGAATTCAAACGTTGAGAACTTGCCGCCTCAAGTGTTGAGACTCGTGTATAAAGAGGTTTCCGCCTTGGCAGCAGACCCACCTGAGGGGATCAAAATCTACCCCAGTGAAGAGGATATCACAGAACTGCACACTGCCATTGAGGGACCAGGTAAGAAGTGCCGTTTATAAGAGGTATTTTCTTGTTTTTATAAGGTCCTTGGCTTACATTTTAAACTTTGAACTTTGTTTTCCTCTTTTACACAACAGAAGGAACTCCCTATGCAGGAGGTGTGTTCAGGATGCGTTTGGTCCTTGGGAAGGATTTTCCTGCTGCACCTCCCAGAGGCTATTTCCTCACAAAGATTTTTCATCCTAATGTTGGGCACAAGGGTGAGATCTGTGTTAATGTATTGAAGAGGGACTGGAAGGCAGAACTGGGCCTGAGACATGTATTGCTAGTAAGTGCCGTTTGACTCTTTTTATAGTAAACCTAGACTAATTTGCTTAAAAAAAAAATGCCCTTAAATGTAACCAAGGATTTTTTTTTAAACCTCTCTAACATCTTGGCAATGCCAATTAGGTGATTTGGTCATTAAAGGGATAGTTTACCCAAAAATGAAAGTTTTGTCATTTACTCATCCTCAAGTGTTTCCAATCCTATATGATTTTCTTTCTTCAGTTGAACGCAAGATAATATTTTGAAGCATGTTGGTAACCAGACAGTTGACGGTAGCCATTGACTTCCATATTAGGAAAATAAATACTACGCAAGTCAATTGTCTCTTTATCGACATTCTTGAAAATATCATCTTTTATGTTCAACAGGAGAAATTATACAGTTTTGTAACTTGAGGGTAAATAAAAGATCACAGAATTTTTCCTTTTTTGGGTGAACTATCCTTAACTAACCCACACCCCTCTAATTATCCGTTTCTGTCCCAGACCATCAAGTGCCTTCTGATCCATCCTAACCCAGAGTCGGCTCTGAACGAAGAGGCTGGGCGGTTACTTTTGGAGGACTATAAGGAGTATGCATCCCGTGCTCGCCTTCTAACAGAGATCCATGCAATGGGAGGCACTTCAGGGGCCCCTCAGGAGCCTGCTGATGGACCCCAACCTAAAAAACATGCAGGAGACCCAAACAAACGTGTAGCCGGGGCTGGTTTGGCATCAATGGCTGCTGGCGTCAACAACTCAAACGGCAGCTCCAGCAGCACAAGTAGCAGCAATACTAATATAGTCGCAAAGAAGAAAACGGATAAAAAACGAGCTCTGAGGCGGCTATAAAAGAGAATGAATCTGTGTTTGTGTACATATAAATATTGAAGTGTGCAGACCCCCTTTTCACCTCCTTAAACTGTTATACCGTTTTAGGATAGCACGTTAATTTTCTCATGCTCCTACCAGATCACTCCTCGTTTTTGTTCGGATGTCTCTTTCAACTTACTCTCAGGACTTGTGGCACTTCTCTGTTTGACTGACAAAAGGGGGTTTTCATCTGTCTGTCAAATGTTTTACAATTGTTCAGATTATGAAAAAAGTAGTAAAAGTTTTTGGACAAAATTAAATTTGTGGCCTCTAGCATTATGTAATGACCATCAGCAGGATTTTGATGTGATGTATTTAAAGTAGCGGGTGTGACGGGACGGATATTTTAATTCTGTCCTATTGCATTTGGACTGAACCCATTAAGTTACAGATGAGGTATTTTCAGGGGTTTAATGAAGAATAGTACATTGCACAGGATATGATCGTTGTGTTTGTGATGAAAGATCAGGAATAACAGAGGGGGGGGGGGGTTCAAATGTGGTCTGAATATTATTCATGAAAAATCTGTTTTTAATGTTTTTTTGTGAGTGCATATTTGTGTGGTATTTTTTTTATTTGTTTCCAGTTTTTACTCAATTTGTCTGTTCTTTTATATTTTGTAGTTCACTTTTAAAGACCTTTTTCTGCTTTCAAATGAAAGGCTGATTTTACCTGACACTGGTGCTTGAGAGAGAATCCTTAATAGCCTTTAGACCAGCTGAGGTAGAGCAATGGGGCAAATAGTTAATCATGAAATGAGCCGGAAGTGGTGTTCAATTGGTCTCATCCTAGAAATGGTTTAGTTATACTTGTTATGAATAAGAGCATTCGCCTGCTGTTATATGAATACAGCTGCATTTTCCTCTGGCTCTACTGGTCTCTCAATCAAAAGGCTGTTAAGGAATCCTCTCTGGTAGTCTGTTGTTGCCCATTGTTACACTTTATGGGGCCTTTGGTTCCTAAAGATCCTCTCTAACGTATGAACATTGGGCAGGTCATTGCTGAAACAGTTTGCCAGTGTTTTGAAAACTTGTGGATAAACAATGGGGCATTTTGTGGCCATTTAAGTTATTTAAATTAATAAGAAATAAAAGAATTTTAGGGAGCAATTTGGTTCATTCTTTCATTTGGTGTAGGGAAAAAATATACTTCTATGCTTATATGTGCTTGTTGAACAATTGAAACTGCTTGAGAAAGTTTGAATATTTTCTAGAGCCCGACTGATATAAATATTTGTTGGTTTTAAAATCCGATATATTGGCCAATATTTTTATTTTATTTTTTCAGAAATGCGCAACAAAACGTTAACAGATTTCCCTAACAATAGTTATTTGTAGTTATTAATGAGTTTTAAATGAGATAATATGATAATGAATTTTAAAAAGAAACTTGTTTCTTTTATTGTCACAACAGAACAAAGGAACATCAAAATAATAATTAGTCCCTACATTGCCTTAAAAGCTACCTGCAACCTGGATCAACAGATTACAGGATGTGTGGCGCGTTATACACGAGTGTTGCCAACAGGGATGGTGTAGCGTGCCCTCTTGTGGACAAACTACAACCCCAACACTAATGACATGGTTGAAACGTGTTTCGTCCGTTTTTATTTTATTTTTGAAATATTAATTTATCGGCCATTATAACTGCCGATACCGATAGTTTGGAAAATGCCTAATATCGGCCTGCCGATAAATCGGTCTGGCTCTTTCTTTGATGTGTGTTGAAAAAAGGGTTTTCAGAAATCAAGTATTGCACACTTAGCTATTCCATATCACTCGCTGTGAAAAGTGATCACTTGACAACCTGTTGTATTAAAGTAAATAAAAAGTAAAAAAAAAAAAAGTAACTTTAAAGTAAAGGGGGGGGGGGGAGTTATTATTTATGTGGAATTGCCAAGTCCACATAACTTAATTGTTTTAATTACGCATGAAGTCTATTCACTTATTTTTAAGCCAACGGCTTTCCTCACTTTTTAAGTTGTCAACTGATCCCTTTTTGGCATCTTTCCGTTCAGGCTGCATTCACAACGTTTACTTTTAAAGCATTGTATAATGATGGAGACGTTAAAAAACACGATATGTTGTGTATTTCGCCCCTTGAAACATTTTATGCCATACTCCTATTCAGAGAGCGCATTGGGGGCTGTAATTCGAGCGGGTTATGAACGGATGGTCGGTTCTCGTCGCAGGTTGCCTGAACGGCCCACCCACCTGTATAGGAATAGCTAAGTGCACACCGGCTAATTGCTGTCTGTAGGAAGTAAAGCTGATGAGGGGGAAGATATGAGTTTGAATTACACATATAAAACAATCGAAGAAATTCAAATAGTATATTTATTTATTTATGTTAAAAAATCTATGTTTCAAATTTATGTTTTAAATCTCTTGCAGACTGTATATGGGCCTAGTCTGCAAAACTCGCCCTTTTCACCTGTGAGAATCTGTGTCAAGAAAAACAAATGAACCGCACCGAGTAGTTAATATTTCATGTCCTCCGTGGATTGTGTGCAGAGAGTTGATTGCATCGCTCTCCATGGTGCTGAAATGGTTATTGACGGCTGTCGTTTAGCCGGCGGCAGAGGTTCAGCTTTCAGCACCGCCGCAGTGGATGCGTGATTATTAACTCAACTCATTTATAGACACTAGATTAGGTGCAGATTAATTAAAGAAATATTTATTTCCGATTTAATCATGTATGCATTTGACTCGATAGGTAATCTTAGGACTAATTAAAACAAAGTTGTATTTATTGAAAAGAAATCCACGATGAGTTGGCCTATTATGGATGCGGGAATATGATCAGTTTGAATTAATGAACTCTTTACAGCCATTTGGCAGCGTGCAGTGTGTATTTAAATCATTGGGCATCTTTATTTTTTCTAATAAGTAGCCTAATATGTGAAGGTTCGGCTTTTACCATAGGCTGTGGCAAACAATAGGATATGGCTGTGTCATCATGCAGGGTTGGCTTTTTTTTTTTTTTTTTTTTTTTTTGCATTTTTTTTTTTGCATTTTTTATTAGCATTTTCTTTGCTAAATCCTCCACTGACACATTCGGAAAACGCTATTATGTCTTTATTTCGATGCCTTACTGTTTTTCTGCAACCCATTCTTGTTTAAGGGTGTAAAAGGAATCAAGATTATTAGAGTCACAAACCAAATGACATCGTTGCCATGGCAACCGATCAGTGTGTCTCCCCTCAACACACACACACACACACACACACACACACACACACACACACTCACACCATATTGCTTAGCCAGCCATAATCGTGGCAAGGATGAGAAGTAGTTTGAGAAAGGAAACACTTGAAGCGGTCTGGAATCAAACCCTCATCAACACCGTCTCGCGAAACCAATAAACGCACTATTCAGCGCAGCGGACCTATGTGAGAACACCCGCCTCATTCCACCGGTGTTTCGTGACAGAGTCGGAATGTTCTTGTGTGCACACTTTGCAGGCGGCGTCGATTAACGGCAACGTTAAGGAGCAACACAGAGGGGGGAAACATTCATGGCGCACGTTATTCTGAGCGCTATAAAAAATATATGAGGGACTTAGGCAAAGGTTATCTCACCTGGAATACTTTCTCAGTACATAACGTTTACGCGCAAATAAAGTTGTGCACGATCAGGTAAAAATCGATGCTTACTCTATAGTAGCTACGAACATGGAAACAACCGGGGTAGGTGAGAGAAAATCCCTGAAAGAAATTAGTGACTGTAACTGTTGTTTTGTTGCCAAAAGACGAGACTATAATCAATAGAGGAGTGCTGCAACAGTTTGTGGAAATAATTTCCCAGCCATCATCGTCGCTCAGGGCTGAGTAAGATGCGAGACTGCCGTGAGGATCAACAGAATTCAGCTCAGGTATGTCTCTCAAGTTGAACTACATTGCTGCATGTCATCTAATTGACTGATCAATCGTTCACGCGCAGATGTTTCACGCGCTCTATGTTTATCGAAGTTTCGTGATTTGCGCTGGGGGGAAAAAACAACATCGACATGTTCATGTCATATTTTATGTTTTTAATCGTTTGCAAGCGGCCGGAGGAAGATGTTCACACATATGTGAGTGTAATGTGGCTCCACATTACCCTTCGTGTAAACATGCATTCACGCCTACGCAGACGGCCATTCATTGCTCTCGCGCTGGTTGTCATGTCCACCTACTCACCCTCGTGCGAAATACAGCTCCTGAAACACTTCGATATACGACAGTTTCGAAGCAACCCTGAATTTATTTTAAAAACTGTTGTTATTATTGGGGAATATGACTGTAGCGAGAGCAACAAAAGTTCGATATGTTAGGTGTGTTGCGCAGAGGACTTTTATGTTACGTTGACAGAAGAACCACAGCCTGATGGCATTTTGGGGGGTAACCACACAATAGGTAGCAGCTATTAAAGTATAATTGTGGGTGAAAAGCACAGTGTACTAAACTATAGGTAATTGTGACAAATTTTATCTATCTGAATTATTTTATATACAACGCCTAGTTTGTTTAGTTTTATAAACTACCGAGAAAAAAGGGCCAAGGCCCTGCCAAACAATTTCAGAAGTAATAGAGTTCAGTAATGAGTTGAACCTTTGCTAAAGATAATGTGCTAGACCTGCCATGTTTAACATTTAAATCACTGTAATGTGAAAAAGTATATAAGTTACGACAACACAAGCTTTTAGATGTTATTTATAAGTTAAACCATATTCAACTAATTTTTGAGTCAGTTTAATGTAATTTAAGTTGGATTGACTTCAACATCCAAGTTGATTGTACTTAAATATTTAAGGTGGCAACTTTAAGGCAGCAAATATTTAATATTATCATTATTTTTATATCGTAACTGGTCTCTTTATTTCAGCTCATCATATAAATAAAGCTGTTTTTCTTGTTTGCAAATTGGCATAAGTGAAATTTGCGGTCCATAAGGCACATTTGACACAAGCCGTAGTCTCTCCCATTATGTCATAATTACTCATCTCATTCCTCTAGATCTACAGAACTAAACATGGTCCATGATGCAAACAAAGTGCCTTTTTTTGTCTCTTTCACTTCTCATTTCATTCATTTGACAGCATTTTAACCAGAGCAAGACCAATGTAATACATTTTAAAAATAATATACATTTTTAATAGAATGTTATAGATGCATAAAAGCTTTAGGAGGTGATGGACTGTCCATGAATAGCCCTGAGTGTCATAGGGGTTTGCAGGAAAAGGGCAAACCATTTGTCTTTTGAGAGAGAAGAGCGGATTTAGAGGGGTAAAGGGGGTCTATTCATCCTATCTATCTATCATTCTCTTTCTCCTTCTCTCCTTCTATACAAGTCTGAACTACTGCAGTGCTATTCTGAGAGAGTGAGCTGCCTCAACCCACGCACTGAATATCACAGAGAGAGAGAGAGAGAGGGGGGGGGGAATGGAGGGAGATAAAAAGAAGTCGAGAGAACATTCAAAACAGACATGTTTTGCAACAAGAACACAATGAAATAGATGGAAAATAGCACGATTTCCTAAAATCAGATGAATCGCCTGTGATTCCTGTGTGAAACAAGCGAACTGTTTCTGACTGTTCTAGAAACTGTTTGTGAATGCGCCACATCTTCAGTGTCACATCTCTTAGAAGTCGCCCACAGTGCCTTGCTGATTGGGTGCCGTGTTCAGGAAAAGCTAATCCAGTTTGTAGAGGCGCATACTGTTTCACATAGACAAGAAGGTGTCGAAATGGCCTACGCTTTATTATAGACATGCAAATGAGAGGTTACTGTTTTTAATGTCATATAGGCTGTTCTTAGGTTTGCTCCTGTGAAAACTGTAGATGGCCCACATGAATCACTCGGCGTCACACCTGTTAAAATCGCCGTTGCGTATCTAAAAAATGTCTTCTCTATGAACCGTTGACAGTTGTGCGCAAAATACAATGACGAAAAATGGGGGAAAAAACATTCTTCCCACGTAGGTGTCTAACAACTGAACATGGAAAAACTGAACAAGGGAGACATGTGACAGAACAGATGAACATGACTGTGACAGTAGACATGCAAAATTCGTAATGCAAAGTCCTTTCTAAATGAGTCCTTTCTCCATATTAATTATGTGCAAAATGGGGAGCAAAAGCACAAGCAGGTTATGTTCTGCTAATTAGGAATATTTTGTTATCAGCAGCAGCCATTTAGAGAATTTTTTAAAGCCTTTTTGCAACATTCATCAAGGTCCCAGCATTACATAAATAAGAGAATAGTCTGACCATTTAAATATATATTTTTTAATTGATCAAAAATGTATCATATTTCAGTCATCACAGAAGCTAAGCCAAATACTGTATTTAAATGTGATGAATAATATAATATAATATTTTTATACAATATTTGCATTAACTTTAATCTTAGCAGTTCTTGTACCCAGATTTACTTTCCAAAATAATTCAAAGAATAATTAGCTTATGTTGTTTTATTTAATACACTCAGACAGAAAAAAGGTACAAAAGCTGTCACTGGGGCTGTACCTTTTCAAAAGGTACACTTTTGTACCTTAAGGGTGCATATTGGTACCTTAATGGTACATATTAGCACCTAAAATGAACATATCAACACTTACATATTAGTACCTGAAATGTACTTATTAGCACTGGAAATGTACATATTAGCACCTAAAATGTACATATTAGCACCTAAAATGTACATATTAGCGCCTAGAATGTACATATCAACACTTAAAATGTACATATTAGTACCTGAAATGTACATATTAGCACCTGAAATGTACATATTAGCACCTAAAATGTACATATTAGCACCTAGAATGTACATATCAACACTTAAAATGTACATATTAGTACCTAAAATGAACATATCAACACTTAAAATGTACATATTAGTACCTGAAATGTACATATTAGCACCGGAAATGTACATATTAGCACCTAAAATGTACATATTAGCGCCTAGAATGTACATATCAACACTTAAAATGTACATATTATTAGTACCTGAAATGTACATATTAGCACCTAAAATGTACATATTAGAATCTAGAATGTACATATCAACACTTAAAATGTACATATTAGTACCTAAAATGAACATATCAACACTTAAAATGTACATATTAGCACCTAAAATGAACATATTAACACTTAAAATGTACATTTAGCACTTGAAATGTACATATTAGCACCTAGAATGTACATATCAACACTTAAAATGTACATATTAGTACCTGAAATGTACATATTAACACCTGAAATGTTAATATTAGCACAAAAAATGTACATATTAGCACATAAAATTTACATATTAGTACCTAAAATGTACATATTAGCACCTAAAATGAACATATCAACACTTAAAATGTACATATTAGTACCTAAAATGAACATATCAACACTTAAAATGTACATATTAGTATCTGAAATGTACATATTAGCACCTAAAATGTACATATTAGCACCTAGAATGTACATATCAACACTTAAAATGTACATATTAGTACCTGAAATGTACATATTAGGAGCTGAAATGTTAATATTAGCACCAAAAATGTACATATTATCACATAAAATGTACATATTAGTACCTAAAATGTACATATCAACACTTAAAATGTACATTAGTACCTAAAATGAACATATCAACACTTAAAAATGTACATATTAGCACCTAAAATGAACATATCAACACTTAAAATGTACACATTAGTACCGTAAATGTACATATTAGCACCTAAAATGTACATATTAGCACCTAGAATGTATATATCAACACTTAAAATTTACATATTAGTACCTGAAATGTACATATTAGCACCTGAAATGTACATATTAGCACCAAAAATGTACATATTAGCACATAAAATGTACATATTAGTACCTAAAATGGACAAAAGTGTACCCTTTGAAAAGGTACAGCCCCTGTGACAGCTTTCGTACCTTTTTTCTGAGAGTGTAACCGAGTTTCTCTTTTTCAAAATTTTCTGGATTTGAGTCTGTGTACCAGTGTGTATTCCGGAATATGTATTCGAATAAAATGTATTTTGAAATAATACCTGCATTTAGCGTTATTTTGTTGTTGTTGTTGTTGTTGTTTTGTTTTTTTTCGGTCAGTGGTTTAATAATTTAGCAGAACCAGCTTGATGCCACACTGCCACTGTAGCCGTAATGCATAACCACCATTGCTAAGATGAGAGCGCAGCCTGCAGCAGCCAGGCACATGTATAATTTCATGGCTAATGCTGTATTTGTGCAGATTTTTATGTGGCTTCTATCTGTTCAGTTTCCCTTGTGATATCTGTGCCTCATTACATCCAAAATCGTGTTGTTGGCATTAACTTGTTGATCTGCGACAAGAGATTTTGTGTGTTCACTCTATTCATGGGCTGTACGTTTTATATACCTGTAAAACGCATGGTTGGAGAACGTGTATTATATGCTGTATGAGAGTGTGTTAATGTTCCTGTGTGAGCCAGCACACTGTCTATGTAGCACTGTATGTTCCCGGTGTTGTGTATTGTGTGTACTGTGTGCGTATGTGTATTAGTAAGTGGTGTCACTGAATGCTCTCCATTCTCTTCCACCCACACACTGCCCTCCCACATACACACACACAAACACACAAAGCACCTCTCCTCTGTCATACCTCTGGCTCTGTGCACTTCTGTTATGCTGTGCTCATATTTAAATCTCTACCCTGCACTTATCTCTCTTTTCTTTCGCACTTTTCCCAACCTTCTTTTATCCGCTCGATGGTTTTCAACGGGCCCTTACAATTGTGAAAAATAAAGCATATAGCTATTGATTACAGAATAACTTTAGCATAACACTGTCTCTTTTACTTCCTCACAAACATTCTGACACAGCGTCAGGAAAGCATCTCTCTCTCTCTCTCTCGTTCTACCCCCTCGTGCCATGCATCATGCATCATGCTATGCTCTCTGAAAAGGACTGATCACTATTTGTTCAGATTATTGCTACTATTCACTTCTCTCAATGCTTCTGATTCATAGTGACTTGTTGTAACACGTTAGACAAATGGTCATCACACCATCTCTTCTTTTCTTTCTCAGTGTCATGAGCTGAAATCTGCAGCTGTACTGCATTTAGTACAAATGTTCGATTTAAGTTTAAGATTTAAGGGCTGTATATTGAATGCAATCTATCTTAATCTTGCTTGAATTTAAATGTAGATATTACATCGGTTTCTAAATGTTAAGTCCCCATGAAATCAATATTTACAGTTCTTGTTTTTTTTCTAAACGTCTTCTCTGATGACGTGTTTTTTCGGCGTGAGGATGGGAAAACGTTTCACAATGATCTAATCAAATCCCGAAAAATAAAGTCCTGCCATACATTTTTTTTTTGGTTGAGAAGCCGTTTCACTCGGATATACGTCACAATAGGAAAGAAAAGACTATTGCAACTTGTTTTCAGGCCTATATATTCAAAGTATATTACTTTTACTGTAGTGAAGTATGTTTTTTTTAAGAACTTTTACTTTAGTGCTTAATATCTCCATTACACTGCAGAAAATCATAGCATTCCTCATTATTTTGATGTAAAGAAATAGAATGCGCTTATAAATGTGCTGATGAGTTGTTGGTTTTTTATGAGCCATTTAAAAAAAATATTTTTGCACTTTTTAAACTGGTGCTGAATTCATAACTGCATACTAACGTACTACATTTACTATTACTGCCATAGAAAGATGGTAAAAGGCTAAGCATAGTCTGCAGTTCCCAATTCAGCTTGGTTCACAAATCACGAGGAATGATTTATGCAATGATCCATTTGCCGCAGTTCTAAAATCTCACTGATTCAGATTTCCGGTGGAAGTGACGTTTGGCCAAATTTGATTCAAAATGATCAAAGAACCAGAACTAATTTGATGCTCAGAGTGTATGTAGGGATGATTTTACCGATAAGGCTAAAATACAAATTAGTTTGCTACTGTAATGATGAGATTTTCTAGTGTGTATTGAAAATGCAAATCATATTTAGGCTGTAAACAACTCTAAGATGTTTATGTGCTAAAATGATTTAAGTTGTTGTTCACAGACTTCTTCGTCAGCATCTAGCTTTTCTTATTGCCTTTTTCGCCTTTTTTCCTATCTCACCGCTTTTAAATCGGACAATGCATTACTATAAAAGTGCTTTTAAAAGCTCCTCGTCCTGGTATCGCTGTCATGGCGGTGTCATGTTTAGAATCCAAATGTTTTCTGATCTTGACACATATTTGTTCCATATTTGGCAAGTGTTTTGTAATAGAAGTGATATTGTGACAGAATTTTGTTACAGGAGAATTCATTTAAAAAAAAAAGAAAAAGAAAATTCAATGGAATGCGGGTGTGTCCCGGTGGCTACTTTTGGTATTGCACAGAAACAAAATCTCATAGGAACTTCAATTTCAAAACAAAACATGGTTTGACATCTTAAATGGTTTGACATCTTAATGGACATCATCCATTTTATAGCAATTTTAGTGTAGCCTAACAATTATTTTGTATATTTTTTTGTATAAAATAAAAAATGATATAGTTCAGTTTATTTGTTTTACAGTCAAATTTAACTTGTAAAACTTTTTACACTTTCATTTGAAGTGCTTGGCTCAGTGTCTTCTTTAAAAAGAGACCAACCTTAGGTCTGTTTTCCATTTTCTTAAAGTAGATTTAATGTGTATACACTGTGAATTAATCTTTTTTTAATGTTTTTTTAATGGTTTTTAATACTAAGTGTTTCTAACAAAGGGAAAATTAAACTAGACCACTGTATAATTATATATCAGCCTCATGACCCAAGTATCCAACTTTTTTTTACATAGTAACAGTGAGGAACCAATCATTTTACAGAAAAATTATGAAATGGATAACCTTTGCCATGCTCCTATTTTTTTAAATCACTTGTACTCTTTATGTCCATGATTAAAGCATTTTGAAAGGGATTGTCTGGTGTCTGTAAGTGTCAATTAGGAGACATTACGCCGGCTTAATTTAAGTCAGGTGCGTAGGGCAATTTCTACCAAAAAACATACAGTCCAACCCCAGAAAAATCTCTTTTGCGCTAAATTCTGTGGATTCTATATTGATTGCTTTAGTTGCCGCATACCTTTTTTTCTGTCACTTGCCATATGTGTCACAATGAAAATAATAGGCTGCCATGCAGATGACAAGCTAACTATGATCTTTCAGAAACTTTCACTGATCTCTGTGTGTGTGTGTGTGTGTGTGTGTGTGTGTGTGTGTGTGTGTGTGCATGTAGGATGTAACATCAGTGTGTTGATTTCTTTTCAGAGGCACATCGCTTGATAACTGAACACTTCATAACTGCCAGTGGATTCCAAGATCAACCCTGCAAAAATTGTGAGGAAACAGCCATGTCCACACCATGGGATTTTAAACCATTTCACCAAGAGCAAACGATTCTCAATGAAAACTGGGCTTATCTTAAAGGCATATCTGCTGCGTGAATCTTAAGAAACTGGAAAGAGACTGGAAGGTTTACATAGTCACTCTCCTTGGAAACATTGTAAAGACAATCAGCCCTTTACATCTTTACTGCCATCAGTTTTTTTTGTGTGTGTGTGTGTGTGTTTGTCTGTGTCATCAGTTTATTGAACATTTTCACCTAAAATACGTGAAGAAGGGCATACATACATATCTGATTTCTGTCAACTATTTTAAATTTGCATACCGGATTATTCATTTGGTCTTTCTTTACATGCTTTACATGATTTTAGTTCAGTTATATAGAGGTTCGCAGGCAGAGATACTGAACAAACTCAAAATGATTCCTCATCACACTGCCCTCAAACACTCAATGGAGTTCACCATTCTGAGTAGTCCTGTTAACACGTAAACAAGATTAGTTTCGGAGGTTGTTGTTTTTTTCACCAAGTGTATGGAAATTGTTTATACTAGTTAATAATAGTAAACATTCAGGGAGTATAACAGGTCAGGGAAATCTGCTTAAAGACTAAGTGCCATTGCTGAATGTAAGGAGTGCCCAAATAAAAAAAAAAAATTGTGAAGACAAGCAAAACTTTAGTTTACATTTTAAAGATGTCTACAGTTGCCCCTTTCTCTTAAGTGAAACTTTCATCCTGATAAGTGCCAAAACAGAGAACTAAACCTAAATACTTCTAATGTACACAGTTATACTACTACTTAAATGCCTTTGTGTCATGAAAATACTAGATTTTGAAGTAATAGGAGGACAGTAACGAGAAGCCATTTTGTTTGTCTGCGTATATGTGAAAATGTTTACTTTTGAAGAAAGCCACAAAAGGGAATATTTGCCTTGTTAATGCATTCAGAACAGACAATTTGTTAAATATTCTTTCATGTCCTGTTTATACAATAACTAGCCAATTGTACGTTGCCTGCTCTGAATATTGTCAGCGTTTGGATTGTTTTGCATATTGTTCAGGTTTTCCAGCAATATGCTGGATGGAAACTCTGCATGATGAGAGAATACATGTTGTGTAACTCACCTTGAAGCTAAAAGCACATCAGAATAGTTTTGTTGTGATCCTTCACATCGTACACTTTTATCAGACTTTGAGAGCAGATTTGTCTTTCAAGACTGTTTTGATATAGACGTCGGAGGGCTGCTACAAGAATATTTTCCATACAGCACTAAGCAGGCTGTTATTACAAAATTCGGCATTGTGCGGTGGGTTGAGTCAGCGAGAGAAAATAGCAGCATTAGTCATGTAAAGATGATGCCCACCTTGGAAGCTCGAGTACGTGTCATTATTCTCTTCCTGCTAATCGCTGTCCCACTTAACGTTTCCTCGGCGAGCGTCCCGGGCCCCTCCAGAAACGTAACAAATGGGCCCATCACCATCACCCCGACGCCCAGCCCCAAATCTCAAGGTAGGGGCTTTCTTTACCCCCTTTCTAAAAGCGGAAGGAGTATGCGAGGGAAGTCCATGAATCGTCGGCCAAAGCAGCCAGCTGGAGTGGCAGAAATGCCCCTCCGGCCGCTGCCTCAGATAATGCTGCCAAAGAATGTAACGACTGATGCACTGAAGGCCCCTTTCGGAGCAGCAAAGGTAGCTCCGCCTCCTCGCAAACTGGTGGAAGTTGACGTGTGTCGAGGTTATTATGATGTCATGGGGCAGTATGACCTCACCTTTAACTGCTCCAAGGATGACTTCATCTACTGCTGCGGGACCTGCCATTATCGATTTTGTTGTCCGGACCGCACTCGAAGGCTGGACCAGAACATCTGCCACAACTACCATTCTCCTGTGTGGGCCAATACAGCCCCCCCAGCGACCAGGCCCCCTCTGCCCGCTTATCCGGACCTCAGCCGCATCGAACAGAGCAACAACACCGTCTACGTCATCGGTGGAGTCATCTCGTTTACCGTGGCAGTGGCAGTCGCCATTAAAGTGGCATTCCACAAGGCATCACGGCAGCCTAGGAACCGAGAACTCAACATGCCAAGGTAAGAGTTTATGTCTAAAAGGATGTCAAATCGACCTTGAATTGTATTTCTAGATCAGTGTGGTTTTCAATCCTGGTCCTGCGGACCCATCGCTCTGCACATTTTGTATGTCTCTTATGTGTCTCATTTCATGGAGTTCTCACCTAAATAGCTGATGATCTCAATCAGGTGTGTTCAATAAGGGAGACATACAAAATGTGTAGGGCGGTGGGTCCCTAGGACCAGGGACTCATCATTTCTACATTCTTCCCTGTCAGGGCTCTTGTGGAAATGTTGCGTCACCAGTCGAGTCCAGTTCAAGAGGGAGAGAGAAACAACAGCGTAGCCTTGGGAACTGGAGGAGGAGAGGGGACACTTGGACGACCCCCGAAAAATCTTTATCCCACACTACAGAGTAAAGATAACAGACGTGAGTGGAAAACTCCATAATCTCCATATGCTGGGAAAGGCGCCACTCTTAAAGGGTTAGTTCACCCAAAAATGAAAATTAAGTCATTAATTGCTCACCCCCATGCTGTACCAACCCCGTAAGACCTTCGTTCATCTTCAGAACACAAATGAAGATATTTTTTTATTAAATTTGAGAGCTGGATCACTACCACATAGGCACACTAAGGGATTGAAACTTGAAAGTCATTGAAGAAAATGTTTAAATTTTCCATGTGACAACAGTGGCTCAACTATAAGATTTCCACGACCTTCTAGTTCAGTTCTCGCGCATGCGTCATGGAAATCTCTTGAACTCTCGTCTCAGGCCCAGAAGGAAGAAAAGGAATAGTCGAATAAAGTCGTTATTTTAGTTTTGGGTTTTTTTCGCACAAAAAGTATTCTCGTCGCATGATAAAGTTAAAGTTGAGCCACAAGTTGTCACATGGAATATTTAAAAATTTTCTTCAATGACTTTCGGGGCTTTCAAGTTTCAATCCCTTAGGGAGCCTATATGGTAGTGATACAGCTCTCAAATTTAATCAGAAGTATCTTCATTTGTGTTCCGAAGATGAACGAAGGTCTTACGGGGTTGGTACAGGTGGTCAGTAATTAATGACTTAATTTTCATTTTTGGGTGAACTATCCCTTTAAGAACAGTGTACATTTGTGTGTATAATTAACTATGAAGATAAGTAATATATAAGTATTAAGTAGCAAAAAACTATTCATTCAGATTTATGATTTAGTTAGCCCAGTTACTCTATTATGATGAATAATGATGAGGTTTGAAATGTACATCTTATAAATTATTAATAATCCAATAAGTCCATAGTTAGAATGTTAAGAATCATAATAATTATTTAATTAAATTATAAAACAACAGCAACAACATGCCACTGTGGGGGTTCTGCCCCATTTTTCAGGGGGACATTTTACTCCAAAGGGTTCGCTTTAACTTTTCATTTGAAAATGAAAACAAACAAAAAACAATATTTGTTACTGTACACATATATCCATATATCACCTATTAACAAATAAAAGCCATAAAGAACTAAAATGAAAATTAAATTCACAGGTCACCATCATTTAGTGACAAAAAGTTGACAAAACCCTTAGTTATCCTTTAACTACAAAAACTGTTCAAATGTAAGAAAACTCACAAATAGTAAATTTTTACTGTAAAAAAAAATATGATCAATAAGTTATGGCAACATATACAAAAAACATTTTTACATTGCTTTAACTGATCAAAACAAGTTAATATTTAGTCATTTTCACCTTTTTTTATATAAGTTATTATAGATTCAACTCATTTTTATGTCAGTTTAATGAAATTAAAATTAAAATAACTTAAACATCCAAGTTCATTGAACTTGTGTTGTTGTGGGTTTTTTTTTTTTTTTACAGTATAGTCTTAAATCTATGATTTAAAAGAAAATTAAATGTCTAATGTTTTATCCAGGTTTTCTGTGACTTCAAATCAGCAAATTGCAGTCATTTCAACTCGTTTTGTCTAGTTGAATCTTGTATAACTTAAACTGAAATTGAAATTGGTTACTTGATGAAATTAAAGTAATGGAAAAAAAAACATTCATACAATAATGCTGCCATTAGTACAGTATTTGACTTTGTATAAAATCCTATTTCTACATGAATAAAAAGCCAGTTGGTCACATGTCACCAGCTATAATTTGAAATAAAATGCCTTGGGTCAACAATTCATTAATATTCAATAATTGTATTAAATTTGCACTAATTTTACTATCATGGACCTGGTTGCAGTTTGCAGGTATTGTTGCATTATATGTCATACAGATTTCCAGAGTTCCTTTCATGTTTCCATCTCAGCTTGAATCTTGTGAACGGCCAACTGTATAAATTCAGGACAACAAAGGAACATAGGGAAAAAGCAAAAGCCAAATGATGAAAGGGCATTTGTGAATTATTTAGCACGAAGCTGTATATGATGGCATTAGAATGAACAGACGGCGAAAAATGTGCAACACATTGTGGAGCTAGAAAGAGCTCAATAGGGCAACATTTATAGTATTAGATGCATACGTGTGTTTTATAAATTCATACTAAATGTAAATTAGTCGCAAAGACATGCACATACAGCCATAACACACATGCCTTTTTTCTTATTCACAGTGGGGAATATACAGCATAACTTCATCCATACCACAGGCTCCAGTCCCAAACATACAGCCACCATCGGTAGGTAAAACCAACAATTCTACATAGTTGAATGTATATTCTGAACTACTGAGTTTGAAATAACCTCAAGGTCCATCATTGCATACGTGTCTTTAAAGAGCGTGGATCACGTATGAACAACATGCAGATGGCCACTGGTGGCACATTGAAGCCCAATAAGCATACTAACGCCATGAAGCCCCAGCCGTCCTTCCATCACTCCCTACATAACCTGGCACAGCTGCCACCCTCGTATGAAGCCGCCATGAAGCCTGAGATCAACAGATACTCCTCTCTCAAGCGTCTGGGTGAGTGCTTTGTTACCATTGGAGAGGAAGATTCTTATCTTAGGGAAATTATGTTTTGTAAGAATTACATAAAAGGTTGGCATGATTGCTTTCTTATTATAGCCAACATAATTTCAAAGGCATAAAGCCAATTTAGAAGCAAGCAATAAGGAGGAAAAGATGGACGAGTACAAAAACAGTGTGACATTTAGTACTGTTGTGTTTTGAAGGAGAAATTACCTGCTCGATGATGAGGATATAGTCTCATGTGGGGCTCAGAATGTTGCCGAAAATGATCTGTACGCTTGGGTTTTTGTGTAAAGCAGTGTCAGTGTTGCATTTGGAGATATAAATGTTTGTGAGGGTCATTTTAATGAGGGCAAACCATAGCAAAGCGCCCGCTATCTTGTACAGACGCATAAAGCCTTAAGGCCTCTCTCTCAGCTAGACATCAAACCTCCTGGGAAGTGTGAGTTACAGTTGGATGACAAGAAAGTTCTGCACAGGCGAAGGTTATACAGGCTGATACAATGACTCAGACTTAATCAGCCGAAAGATGAAATAGCTCAAGATACAGGATTGTATTAATATTGTTAAATTAACTGAATCATGATTCACATTAAACACATTGTCCTGGGATGGACGTTGAAGAATTTATATTAAGGCTTAAGTAGGTTGTGATGAACCTTTTATTGACATTCTAGCCTGTAGCTCAAATCCTGTAAACATTTTTAGTCGTGCGTCCATTTTTATTTGGGATACACAGTATATTGATGCCAAATTGGTTATTGGCCAATATTAGACAGTAATTAGTTCATCATCTAATGCTCACCTAAATTTAATCTTTAAAAACACGGATAATTTACTTAGTGTAGTGCTAATAATAAACCCTTTCAAATGTGTTCTTAAGCAAATCGCAAAATTGATAAATAAATTCACATTAAATTGATTGTTTTTAGTGTTTTCTCATTAATTCGAATTAACATGAAAACAGTAAAAATGAGAAAACAAACAAATAAATGAAGTATTGATATTGAACAGATTTTGGTCATTTATTGGTCAGTACCGCTATTTCTATAACTGAAAATGACTGAAAATGAAATACTAATGTATTTCATTTTTCTAAAAATATAAATATTTATAATCAGCAACTTTTCATGTTAGAGATTATTCATATTGAATGTTTTTAAACATGTTTTCCTCCACCTACAGAGAAAGGAGGATTGGAGGAATATTCAGGTTACTGTACCACCAAACGGAGGCCCAACAACGCCCCTCCCTCCTTTCATTCCTCCCAGCATCACCTTCCCTGGGGTGGCGACTACACGCTGGGGGGAAGAGGCACGCTTCCCAACCGCGCCACTCGTCCTCGAATACCTCACCCGCAGTCTGCCCCAAGCCACACCCCGAATCCTTACCCTCTGGAACCCCCGGAATCCAAGCAAAATCAGAATTACGATACGCTTTCCAAACCGCCACGTCGCGTCAAGTCAACGGACCAGCTCCTTGCCCTTGCCGACGGCAGCACCTTATCGAGGCTCTCGAAGAACCAGCAGCATCAATACTACAAAGCCATGGCCACTGCATCAAAGAACTCCAATAACCAGAACACCCTGAAGAAGTCCAAGGAGAGGCTGCTGATGTCACCAGACCATCTACAGGAGGAGATAGGCGGGGATGAGTATGGCGGAAGCGGGATGGGTTTGGGAATGGGTGACTACACGGGCGGAGGGGGAGGCGGAATGGTGCCCACCCTGCCCCGCGTCAGCCACCAGAAAGCTCAATCGCAGCAGAACGTCTGTGCCACGCCATCACTCGACCGTCACCACATGATCAAGATGAACTCGCACCCGACGTCGGGCCGAGAGCAGGAGCGGAATTCGGCTGCGATGTCAGGTCACCTGGGAGGAGGCGGGGGTGGGGGAGTGGCATGGGGCGACATGCCAGGAACAGGAGTTGTCATGGGAACAGGGACTCTTGGTGGACACAGTGCCAGGAGGCTTGCATTTGCAGCTAAAAGGCAAAATACCATTGAACAACTTCACTTCATCCCCGGTGGGGGGGGAAGTGGAGGAGGAGTGGCATCCAACCAAGGGGTTAGAACAGGAAGCAAGAATGAGGTTACTGTTTGAGCAAGAGGCTGGAGAGGGTAAGGCGGGAATGGAGAAGAAGATGGGTGAGAGATAGACTGTGTGAAGAGTTGGAGGATGGTAAAGGGACTGTGGGAGAGAGAGAGAGAGAGTGGGCGGAAGAGGGAGAGAAATAACGAGAGAAGAGAGAAAAGGAGTAGGAGGATGGTAAAGGAATAAGAGAAACAGATTTTCAAGGGGGCCACAAAGTGGGAGAAACTACGCAGAGAGCGAAGTGGCACTTTTTTTTTACATATACATATTGTATATAGTGGCAAATTCACAACATAAGATTAGATAACAACAGTTATAAGTCAGGTTTGATAGAGCTTCAAAGTTTTTGTGCTTTTTACGTTCATGAAATTGCCGCTATAATTACGATCAAAGCTGCCATATACAACTATTTATTTGTGTACATTTTGCCTATAAATCTACCGCATAGAATATCAATAGAGTGTAATATAAATTCCACATGATGTGTACATTTTTTTCAAATCTTTATGTCATGTTTTTATCCTCAAATATCTTACATTATTACACATTACAGATATAGCTGCTATGGAGCCATATATTTCAGAGAATGGCTTTTATCGTATAACTATGATAGAACTACTGGAAGACTAATAATTAACATCTGCATAAGAGGAACCAGTTGAACGTGGAGCGCTCATCCAAACTTATGAACTGCAAAGCTAGTTACATTTGGACCTACGTAATGCTGGATCTTGCCTCTTTTTAAACCCTAATCCACTTCTTCGTGATGAGGAAGTGCGGCAGGGTTTTTACAAGTCAAAAGGAATTATGACATTAAACAATTGGAGGAGCATATCCAAAAACTCTGAAGAATTCGATGAACTCATTTGATGAATTAATTTTGAATACCGTAAGAACGTAAGCCTTACCATACATTGTTACATCTGCATCTTATTCAGTGTGAATTTAAAATGGATGTACCAAGTGAGTTCTTTTCAATCTGTTTAGGTGGAATCCTGAAAATAGCACACGAGAAGTTTCCTCAAGTTTGCCCTTCAGTACATCACTGGAGATCGCTTTGAACTATCGATGAAAGCCATTCTGGGACACAATTGGGCAGAAAAGCCCAGATGAAAACCAAGAGAAATGTCTGACAATCATCTTTTTTCTCCATCTTAAAAAGACTCATTAATGATCAATGGCACTTTGTTTGGATTCTGAGCCACCACTTTCTACAATGTCCAAGTGCTGGGATTTGCAAGGGAGATTCATCATAAGGGACGCTGGACTACCAAAAGCACAAGAATACATTTGATTTATGTAATGCTGGGTACTTACACATATATGCTCCTTTTAGGTATACTGTGTAGACAAACGGTTCACCTTAAGCTATTAAATATGGATCTGAGATGAAGGCGACGACTCAAGACAGAGTAAGGGCACTCATCAATGTATTTGTATGTTATGATATTCTGGCATAAAATTAGTGCATAAAATGGCGGTACCATTATCTCGCTCAGGTGTTGGTTGGCATTTGCATAAAGACAAACCTCCTGGACCACTTTTCGAATCTCCATGTTGAAGCCATGTGTATATGCTGTTAAAACTGAGACTCTGCGAACAGTCTTGAGGATACAGGCATGCCAAAACAGCTAACCTGTATTTTTCGAATCTGCTGTTACCGAGATATGACCATGATACGTCATACCTAATATCTTCATAACCAATAACGCTTATCAATATTAAGGGCTATACAACACACATGCGTTAGTGGTACAGCTGTTACCCACAGCTTAATCATTGCTCAATGATAAAAATCTCATTATTTACCAAAAAAAGATATTAAAATAGTAAGTAAATATTACAATGAAAAATGTAAAGTGAGATTGTTCGCAGAAGAGCCAGATATAATTAATTACTGTATGGTTCTGACCTCTGAGAAATAGAGCTCATTTAACCAATGAAAACTGATCAATTTACATTGTAAAACCACCTACTGGTCGTTTTTTTATTGTTTTTGTCATAGACTTTTAACCTCTTGGTTAATTTTCAGTGTAATGAAACTGAACAGTATGAGTTACGGACTATTTGAATATTTATGCCTCCCAGTAAAAGTGTTAAGGAGTAGTTTATATCACATCAGCATCAGGATTGGTGGTAACACATTCATTTAACTCTTCACTGGAAATAGTGTGTATCTTAAAGAATTATGAATACAACTTAAAGACAATCTTCCTAACAGCTCTGTAATACATTGGTGTTCGTTATTGTCATTACTATGACAGTTAATATTATGGTTATTGGTGAAATTTCTTCTTGTTGTTATGGTTATCTTATGATTATGATGGTGATTTTTTTCCTCTGTGGTTTTAGTGTTTACTTGTTTTAGATATCTTTCTCATGAAATTCTTTTGAAATTATGAGTAGAAAATAGAAGCACAAACATCAAAGCCACTCATTGTTCGCCAATTCTTCATGCATTCCTGATGATGAGGAGTGCCTTCGAAAATTTCTCAGTGTGATGTCACATTGTAATTGTTCTAAGCCTGCAAATGTCATTACTTGTTGCAGAGACATCACAATGGGTTTATAAATGATGTCATAGGATGTATGTTGTATGTGTGTAACCGAATGTCTTTTTGTTAAGTGAAATTTCAACTTTTTAATGTTTCTTTCAGGGACAATTAGAACAGATGAATCAATTTAGTATTTTCTTTGCCATAAAAAGTCTGTAGCAATGTCTGTTTTGTATCCACAAGCCATAATTATGAAAATGTTTATGAAATTTATTCACAAGGCATATTACTGCAGAAAATAACAAACATTGGATGTGCAAATAAAGCCCTGAAGCATTTGATGGTAGCTTACAATGGAATGAGCATTGGTTGCACAAGCAAAGCGGGACAGTGAAGACTGAAACCCTTTGGGGAAACCAGCACTGAGTTCATGTCTTGAAATGTTTAAGCACAAACATACAGTGAATGTTTGGGTAAATCACTTCAAATCAAACATCATCATTATTATTATGTAACTATTAAAACAAATGCCCTGAAGTAATAACATATAGGATACACTGCATTCTCAACTTGATTTCCATACAGGTTAAATTTCACCTTTGTAAAATAAAGTCAAATGATGAAACTGTTGCCTCGAATGTCTGATGACACAAGTCAAAAGAAAAACAGAACGTTTAAATTATTCCTGATGTCAGCATTTATTACACAATGTTTACAAACTTATTTTCCATGAAGCATCAGACTGGATATAAGCAATTCCAAGGCAGCCATTTTGATAAGGACCAGCCTTTGAATTTGAGCAGCCAGGATGTAATAAAATGGCCACTGCAAGAGCTTTTAAGGTACAAACAAGCGGCTAAAGAAATAATAGAATATATGAATAACGAATTCAGAACATTATATCGGGTAATATATTCACCGAGTTGTAATTCGAATTTACCTAATATTTTACGAGCTGGCTAACATGCCAAATTTGACTGCGCAACAACACCGAAAATTCTTACTTGAAAGCTACCCGCAAATATCATACAGCTAATGGGCAGACAAATGATATCGCTTTAAGTAGCTCCTATTATTAAAGACGCTGATATAATGTGTGCGCTAGTTTCAGACACAGTAACTTACAGCCTCCACTACAAATACAACACATAGCGGACTGCAGACGGGGAACGTTAGGCGGAAGTGTTCCAAGGTCCGGAAACGACTAATGTTAAAATAACACACGTCACTCGTTCCTCTCTAAAACACCAACACAAACTGTGCAAAATATTTTAGCCGACAAAAAAAGGAAACACAAAATAATACATTTATTCGGTCTTCATACCGTTTAATGCATTTATCACAGGATATAAGAACGATAAGTGCATCTGTTTTAGATTATAAGGGACTCTCGGTCTCATGCTATCGCACCACGGTTGCATTGGTAACAGAGTCTGCTAACTAGCTGTAGCTAGAAGGCTAACCACTGGAAAACAGCGCAGAGCAGCTGGGGTACATGAACGGGGGGGCAGGGTGGGAGAGAGTATAGCAGGCCCCGTTCATCTTGACCAGGCTAAAAGATGGATGCGTAGGTAAAAAGGCCTATTTTATTGTCTCGACTATTATTTAATTATGTTTAATTTACTTGCACAATAATACAGATTTGCTCATGCATTATCTGCCTTGCTGTTGGGTCGCGCATATCATTACGGCAAGCTAAGCCGTGTCCCTTTGCTAAATGTGTAGTATTAGCCAGCTGTTTTGCATGCTAGTTGTTTCACATAGCCACAGCGCTAAAAGATTTCGCGTAAAAGATACGCAGCAGATATTTTTTTCAAGCACTATTGAACTTTTGAAGTGAATTTTCCCCATCGTAGACAATTTGATATTACTCCCAGGAGTCTGTCGAAATGGACCTTTTCTTTACGCGATGCAATCGGAGGATGTAATAATTGCATGAAATTCACCTCTACCCCTGACGATTCACACTGCACTCAGCATCTTTTCCGCACAATGCTAACTGCTCAGAATGTAAGATGAAGTGATGGAAAACCCTCGCAACGTTTCAATATAAGAAAACCGTGTAAATATTTGAATATGTGTCTTAACTTACTGTTTTCATTGCGCATATCGTCTGAAAACGTATTTTACAGTAGCCTACTTTTGTTTAGTAGGCTATCGTGTTGTGGCTGTTAAATGACATTCATTTGAATTGTTGTTAATATCGGTCATTTAGATTAGGCTGATATGATTAATTAATGTTTTAGATCTTGAATACAATGTATTATTTCAGAATGAACTATGAATGGTTTGATGTGGTTCACTAGAAATAAAAAAGGGCTCGGGTTTTAATTTTTTTTTTTAAGTTTTAGTTATTATGAGTTATTTTATTTGTTATTGAAGAATGCAAATGGACAAAAATGACAACATGCAAATGTCTTTAATATTAAGTGAAGGACCAAAGTTTTTCAAAGATTTGCCAATACTTTCATAATTATTCACACACACTTATGATTTTATGTGTATTAAAAATTATATAAATTAAAACGTCTGCTGTAATAAACTGTCTGCCTGTTGTTGTTGTTGTTTTTAATCAAAACCATTTATGTGTTTTGAGGTTTGATGGTTCATTTTGTTTATTAACAAAATTGTATCAGATTTTTTGTTTAAAATAAGTAATTTAACATATTGCTCCCTTTTTCCTCTCACAGTGAGAAGAGGAGTGGCAGAAAGAACATTTTCACAGCCCCCAAGAAAGGGTACTGGAGGATTTTGCTTCCAACTATGGAAAAAAAAAGAAACGTATACTAATTAAAACTTGGAAACAGAGATGCAAGCCACATATGGATTAAGAATTAATAGATATTCAATGTAATAAAACCAGCCCATGGGATTTGAATGGATCCATCCTACAGTGGGATGGTCATGAACTGAAAATGTAACCAAGCAAGAGGAAATATTTCAATGAACTCAAACTGTATTAAGCACTTGCCAAAATGTGAAAAAAATAATTGCATCTTGTGCAATTGAGGCATTTTTCTACCAGACCATATGTCTTTGCACTCTTATGGAATATTCAGACTGACATATTGATATCTAAGGTGAACTATCCAAAATATCTGATTTTATGGAATCCAATGCGAAGCCAAAAGGGAGTAGAAGTTATTTCATAAGTGACAAATCCAATGGAACTCAGTTTTTTCCAGAAATAACAAATTCATGTTACAATGAATACAAAATGTCCTTCTCAACTACTTGCCCAAAGAGTGAAAAAGTGGGTGTCCACTTTAAATGAAACCACACCAGTGGCATAAGGGAACATGTGACATAGCACTGTTTTTGAAATTGCTTCTGCTTCTGATTACAACTAGTAGGAAAGCATCAAATACATTTTTGTTGCTGCTCACAGAGCAGAAGGTGTTGGAACTGCGCACCAATGTATCAGTAACTGGGAGATGTTCCAGTTTGGAAAATACAATGTGGACATCATAGAGATGCTGAGTGGACACCAGTCCCATCAGTTCAAAGGTCTTGGATTAGAGCGACAACTTCAACACCAACAGCAAGTGCAGCTTCACCAACACCAGTTACAGCAACAGCAGCAAGGTGAGCCATCTGGGTCAATTTTGTCTGGACTTGGCTTAGGCCCACTACAAGGATCTAGAGGCAGTGCCTTTACAGACTCTGCATCAATTTTTGCAAAAATGAGTGCACCTCCTCCACCTCTACAACAGCAAACCCTATCTTCATCGTCTCAAAGTTTGAGGAAATCCGGCAAAATGTCTGGAAGCAGTAGCAGTGGTGGAAGTCATTTGAGTGGATACCCTCAGTTTTTGCGCTCATTCCACCCAACTGAGGCGACCCTTGCACAAGAGCAGTTACATTCAGGAGTAGGACGATTTGATCATTTTGCCAGCAGTAGTGCAAGTGGAGGACTGGTTTCATCTGTTCCACCACCACCCCCGTTGCACCCTGGCCTGTCAGTACCTCAGGCCTCTCCTGGGCCACCGTCCTCTTCCCCATCTACTTCAAGTTCTGTTTCAATTTCCAACAACCCTCCCAGCAGTAGTACAGTGACTACTTTGGGTCATCAGTTGGCAGGATCTCAGTCTGACGCCCGAAGTCTACATCAACAGTTTAGCTGCATGTTAGCGGCAAATCAGTATTTTCTTTCTGGAGTACCGGCCAATTCCAGTCTAGAACAATTTTTAGTTCAGCAAGGTAGTCATAACCATCTTGGTCTTGGTCTGGGCCAGGCTGCAGGAGAAACAAGTGCAGCCCTTGCTCCACCCCCTGCTCTTCATTCTTCACACACTCATGGCCATTCAACCACTCTATCACAGCCTCATCAGCCACCAACACAACAACAGCAACTACCACCTCACACTTTGTCTCACACTCACCCACATCCACATCATCCATTGCACTCCTCCTCGCAGCATTCTTCACTCGGAGGTTTTGACTTTCAAGGAATCCCAGTACTCTCCTCTAACCAGCTAGCATCTCTGATGCAACAGGAAGCTGGTTTGCCACTTCCTCTTCCGCTACATCTTTCTTTATCAAAAGACGAGGGAAAAGGGGATAGTGGTGTCGGAGGAGGTGGTAGAAGAAAAAAAGCCATGGCCGGCTACCTGCCACAAAGAAAGTCTGAAGGCAACAACAACAATGGCAGCAACAGTCACATCTCTACAAACCCTAACAGTGGCACTTCAGGGGGACTGAACCAGGATAGCACACCAGGCTTGGATGGAGGTGGGGGTGTTGGTTTGTCGGGTATTGGTGGAGACCCTTCTTCCCACCTAACCTCTTCATCTTCTACTTCTGTTGTCTCATCATCTTCTTCTGCATCCTCTTCTGCAACAGCATCAGTCTTGGTGACAAATGGCTCTAAAACAGCCAGCCATGGTTCCATGCCACCCCAATCTCAGCCTGAACAAGAGCCCCTTTATCATTGTGGCGAGTGTGGCAAAACATTCACACATCTTTCTAGTCTGCGCAGGCACCTACGTAGTCATGAACTGACCACAGCTGGCACAAGTGGCACGAGAAGTAATATTGTAAACCCAGTTTTGCATCCTTCCGATCCAGGTATTCCCCACTCTACTCAAGACAGCTCATCTTCGTGTGGCAGTCATGAAAAGACTTTTCATTGTTCTGAGTGTGGCAAAGGTTTCAAGAAAAAAGGGCATCTCCTTCAACACGGGGTCATCCACTCTGGGTCTCGGCCCTATGCCTGCACTACTTGTAGTCGTGCTTTCAATCGCCGTGAGTCACTCACCCGCCATGAAAAAATCCATGAAGAGAAACCATTCCGCTGTCCAGCTTGTGGTCGCTGTTTTCGAGAAAGTACGTCTCTTTTGAACCATGCCGCCTCTGGCACCTGTGGCAAGTCAGGACGTACAGCGAGATCAAAGCATGAAAGTAATATAGTTGATGGCAAGAGCAATAAAGCTGGGGGCTCCCAAGATGGAATAGCGACTAATGCAGCGGGTGAGTAACGTCTAGAGTAGTGTTTATTTTTAGTAAACCCAGTCAAAGTCAAAATATTTCATAGGCACTATGAAATTTGTGTGCATAGCATTATTACTGTTTAGTCTGTTGTGCAGGTTCTTACCGGAGTGATGATTTCAGTGATGACTACAAGGACCAGCGCTCTCAAGGTATTCTATATTCTGGAACAACCCCATGTGGTGGTGGCAACATGACAGGGCTTGCACTTAGGAAGGCACCATTAGCTCCTACTCTGCATCCACACCCACAAAACCAAAGCCAGCAGCATCATCAACAGCCACATCTCCCACTTTCATCCCTGTTAGAGGATTCCGAAGATGATGTCACTAGCTCGGTCAACAATGCAATTTCTGCCATCACTGCTGCAGCTGCAAATTGTATGAGCGGTGATCTTGCCCATAGTGGAGGTAGAGGGGATGATCGCAGGGATATCATTGGTGGATTGCTTGGAGGTCTGGGTCTTGGACCTCTTGCCTCGCCTAGTGGTCCGTTATCAACATCTGGCCTGGAAAAGTCCTATAGAGGTGATGCTAACCCAAGTGCAGTGGGGCTCAACCAGCAAACAGGTCAGCAGACACCTGGTGGAAAGCCCAAGCGTCCTCGTAAGCCCCGCAAGAAAAAGGAGCCAGGTGTTGTTGGTGTTGAGCCCCCTAAAAGAAGGCAGTCCTCTCACAGACCAGGAGGGCCTGATGGGGATATTAGACCATATTTGTGCAGTGTCTGTGGTCGAGGATTTGCAAGAAGAGAGACTTTGCGAAGGCATGACAGAATACACACCGGAGAAAAGCCTCACCATTGTACTGTGTGTGGCAAATTCTTCAGAGAGGCATTTCATCTTAGCAAGCACCACACAGTGCATTCTGGAGAAAAGAACTACAAATGTATTTTGTGTGGAAAGGACTTTGGATATGCTCAGAGCCTTAAAAGACATGGCAAGCTACACCAGAAAGGTGAAATGGAAGAAGTGCCAACAACGCCTGGTGGGGAAAACCTTAACAGCTATCCTCCATCCTCTGGTGGCAGCTTGATTCAAGGGGGCCATAGTAGCTCTTCTTCTTTTTATTCATACTCTCAAGATGTCAAACCACAGACATCAAACACTCAGCCCCCTCCTAGACTGTACACATGTGCTATATGCTGGAAATCATTCCGCCATCACTTTCACTTGACAGCACATCACCAAACAGTTCACGAGGGTGGTGGCGAAAAGCTGTTTTCTTGTGAAGTCTGTGGGAAGGCTTTTGCATACTCTAACAGCCTTACACGGCACAGGCTTTCTCAGCATGGCCTAACACGGACTGGCCAACCAGTTGCTCAAAGAAGCACAGGCGAAGGGAACAGTGGTGGTGGTTCGATATCAGAAAGTGAAGCTGCTACAAATGCTTTGCTTCAGCTTGCGCCACCAAGTGGCACACATGGCGAACAACATGGACTTCTTCATAGCCAGCATGCTCCTCCCCAAACACAAACTGGCTACTCCTCCCTGTTCTATATACCCGATGCCAACATTACACACTCTGCTTCATCTAATGCCTCATCTTATTCTCATTCTCTGCCATCAACTTCCTCAGGGCCTCTACTTTGTAATCATCAGCATCAACAACACACTGGGAAAAAGGGTGAACCCATTTATCACACTGGTCACAGGCATACTCTTACTGCAAACATACCTGTGCATTCCCTTGTTTTGCCTCCATCAGAGCCACATCAGCAACACCACAATCCCCAGCAGCTTTCAGCTGAGATCCAGTCTACACACCACCACACTTTTCAAAGCCAAGAAGAGTTGAGGAGACGAAAAAAAAAAAAAAAAAGACGGCCAGAGAGAGGGGAGATAGGCTACAAATGGACCCCGGCTGCAAAAGTAGAGAGAGAACAGGTGGAAGTTTCCCTTGGGGAAAGGCAGAGAAATCTTCTTAGAAGAAAGATTTTTAAGAGAAAAAGGAGAGAAATTCACAGAACACAACGTAAAATTAAGAAGCGCATGGCTGTGCTCGTAAGGATCAGGCGTGGAAGTGGAGGAAGTGCTGTGTATGAACTGGGCCTTCCAGGTGGACTGAGGCTTCACAGGCTTCGCTCTCTCAAAGTTCCACTGAAACGAAAGTCCTGTCCCCTTTGCCTTGGTGCAACCTTCTCACAACAGGTAGCACTTAAAGTTCATATAGCAGCTAGACATTGTCCCAAAGTGAGAGGCCTTCAGCATCGTTTGAAATGTCCAGTTTGCGGAAAACAGTCTCGCAAGTTCCTCTCAGCTCTCATTCACAGAAGCTCCCATTTAACAAACAGAGCATTTTCTTGTAAACATTGTCCCTGTCGTTTCTGGAATGCAATGCTCCTCACACGGCACAAGAAGGTGTGTCGAGGGACGTTGGCTAGGTTTCAACGAGAGAGGTCTCTTTGTGTTAAATTAGTCATGGGAGCAACATACAAGAGGTTTGAATGCAAAGGAAACTCTTCATCCATGCATATGGAATACAGTCCCTGAGTTATGTCATTAAATACATTTTCATATGCACTTTAAGAAGAGAAGTGTTGGGATTGTCATGACAAAAACTGGGATACCTGACTGAATACACCCTTTGCTCATGTAGACTTTGACTTGTGTGTCATGAGAGCGTTTTCTTTTCTCTCTCAGTCATTACATTTCTTCACGTAACTTGGACCCCTAAAATGAACACCTTCAACAAACTCACAGATGTATCAAAGGCATTTGTATCGAAAAATGCTTAGCCTCTCCATCCATCCAATTCCACACCAGTCTTCTAAGAAGAAAATTCTTGTTCAGATTGAAATGATCCTTGGATGGTAATAGAAGAGGATTCAGTGATTTGGCTAATATTGTACTGTGCCAAAACAAAAGGCTATTGCTCACTATTCCTCAACAGATGCTCTGTAAAATTATTCTGTCTTTGATATATATTGTGTTTGTTGGTGTTCACTTAGAGCAAGTGTGGAGGTGTGATTTTGTTAATGTAAAAAGTGCATTCAGTATCCGAAGGCGAAACGGGGGTCCTGTTAGGAAGTGGAGTGTTTTATTTTAAAGAGTATTTAAATTACTGCATGTTAGCGTGAGTGATGAGACTGTGGGCTTACATGGTTACATGACAAATCCAATTGAAAATGTATTAAATATAGGAACCAAAAGAAATTAATGTATAATAACAAATGTTGATTAACACTTTGTAATATCAAATGTGAGCCCCGTTTTGATTTATTTACTCTTTTGAAAGAAAACTAGCATTAGGATGGAAACGCCAGCACTTAAACAGGAAGAATATGATTTTCCACACAACCAGTCAAAGGACTAAAAAAAAAAAATGTAAGATGCAAATTCACAGATTCTTGCCCTAAAGGCAAAAGCCTTACCAAATTGTGACAATTAATACACCACATATGGGTATAGTACAATGTAGCGTTTATGTATAGAGTTTAAGGGAGGAACTGAAAAATATAAGTGTACTGTAATGTAAATTGTGTCAATATTTTATTATGTTTTTTTAAGCAAATGTCAATTATCTTTTTATCATAGCTACACTTCAGGTAGTTGGAAGAGTGATTGTAAGAGTTATCACTTTAGATCAGGTCTTGATTAAGTTTAATAATGTGTGACATTCTGTCCATTTGACAACTATGAACGTATCCCATGTACTTTTCTCACCTTGTAGAGATGCCATACTACTTTTAGCCTCTCTTTTTTTTTCTTTAAAAGAAGAAAAGTAATACGTATGTTTTTATCACTTTATTTACACATGATAAGCTGGTTGTTGATGATACCCAAGCATTTAATAAAATTTCAAAATGTTATATCCTTGTTACTTCCATCTACACATGTATCATTTTGTATGTATTTGCTTGTATTAAAATACGCAGACATATTAATTTTACAAACTGTATTTCATGGTTCCCGATGTTGTTATATTTAACATTTATTATTATATTTATTGCTTCTGTTAATTTTTGTTACAATGCTTAAATATTTATTATTTTCTGTTGCTGTAAGGTCATTTTTACCCTATAGTATTGTGATTTTTACACATAGAATATTTGTATCTGAGTATATATCCACACAAATACCCTAAATTTGGGTAATTTTTGATGTAGCCCAGAACAATGAATAGTGCTGGGTAGTAACTGATTACATGTAATCTGGATTATGTAATCAGATTCCAAAAAGGACTTGTAAATAGATTATATATAAAAATACTCATAATCAGACTAGAATTACTTTTATATTGATTATATGTTTATGATTTTTTTGGTCTCTGACCAAATACGTTTACTTGAAGTACCTCCTGAGATTTTAAGTTAACAAGTTAGGTTAATAAAAATAAAATTAAGTTCACAGTTCTCTAATGTCCGTTAATGGTCACATGACATGCAGGAAAAATTAAAAACTTTTTTTCTTTTTTTTAAACTCAGGATCCCCCAGCAGTTCCATCATCACGAACCCCAGTTTGGGAAACCCATGGTGTAATTAAACATTTAATTCACTTTGTGTTGATTACAAAGAATGAAATATATTTCTTTCTCTTTGTATTTTTATATCAATACTCTACACGATTATCCTATTCAAATCAACATGGTAAATGAGTTAGGTGAAATGTAATAATATATAATAATATTTATAATATTACCATAAATGTGTAATGGGTGACTTACAATTTTTGTCATTTGGAATCAGTAAACGACTACAATTTGTATCTCTACCCAGCACTGACAATAAACTACAGAGGATGTGTTAATACCAGACAGAAAATGGCTTTTTTTAAATGGCAAATATCATTTAGTAGCCTAATGCTAGAATACATGTTGCTCATAAAATCTCCCCCAAAAATCCATGTTGTCTAATTTTCATTTTATCCACTGAATTGTAACTGTAGAGTGCCATTTTTGTTTTCATCATTCTGCACTTGAACATTCTGCACTCTGTCTGAACATGCAATGTTAACCCCAGTTTGTTGATAGAATTATAGCCTTCTAATTGTTGGGATTTCATTTATAGTTTGTAGATTTTATCAGCTGCACTGAAACCTACACAATACACTGTACGGCTGAATGATAGCTAGGTGTTGTTGTGAAATTAACTCAACAAAAAGAATGAACCGTTTAGTGCTGTGTATTCATTCTAGCACTTGACGTTGCTCTTTCACATGTTGATCAGTTGGTGGCAGCAAGGATCATACAACAGCATTAAGCTGGGAGCCCAGCAGAACAACTGTCACATGGAATTAAACGGTGGGTGGAACAAGTACTCTGAGTCCTCGAGTGTGTGTGTGTACCATGGTGTGTACCTACGTAGGGAGGCATTGAATTAAAATGAGTCCAAGACAGACAGGGATGGTTTATTCGCCCAGTGTATAGGGAAAACAAATAAAATGTCCTTGTTAGATGGCTTCTAATCCATATTTCACATGTTCACATTCTTTGCATTCTACTGTCCTCAATTATTAGTTTGTTAAATCCTTAAAGGCAGACATATAGCCTAGTAACCTTTTGAGTTGTTAACTGCATTGAGTATTATAATATTTTGATAGGCTCGTGAAGTTGGGTTTATCAGGTTCGACCCTAAAAAATCTATTTGCTTTATTTCTGAATCTGTAGTGTGTGTGTGTGCGCGACACTCGCCTGGGTTCACGCGGTTTCTGTATTCTCACGCGGCTGTAGCATGGGTGTGATGAATGGGCGGAGCGCTGCTCTCCACGGCAGCCAATGATTGGGCGAGCAGGGAGGAGCCTCTTTTCTCTCAGCCAATGGCAGTAAAAAAGCTCAGCCGTGTCTCCGCGTGCGGACACCATGTGCACTGGAGAGCGCGTCTGTGTTTCTGAGACACAACGTGTAGTTGCCATCTCCTCTCGCATGATGTGATCACGTTTCCCCCGGATTACTAGTGAAGTGAAAAAGTGTGCCATTCGCTTGACAGGTTTTTCCCCAAAATGTGGCTCTCTGATAAGACTGTGTAGAAACTTGACAGGTTGTTAAATAGACACATCGCTGATTATTCTGATGCTCTTTAAAACGGTCCACTTTCCAACTTAGTAATTCTGTGTCCGCATGTTCATGCTGTTATTGGGTGTCGAACATAAGCTAAGCGTCATTGGGACAGCTTGGGGTGAAATTATTGAACAATTTGTTTTTAATCAGTGCTTCCCTCCATGAGGAGCGTGCCTGTCACGAGGGGTGTGCCTTATTAATATTAAACAGAGATGCGCCTCTTCGTGCAGTGTTGTTCGCGCTTCTACTCTGGGAGGTGTGACGTCACGTGAGCGGCCCGTGTTCGTTCCAGCTGAGCGAAAAGATCGGACGGTTCAAGCTCAACGCGTGCGGCAACTCACATGCAGAGAGAACTGAACAGAAGGGGGTGACCACAGGGGGAAAAAGCGATTGAGAGACTGCATGGAAAAAAACGTCAACATCCCACCAATCGCACTACGCAGCAGAAATTGACTCAGCAACACTTTCTTCGTTTTGTTTTCACTTGTTATTTTGAGACGACGCATTCAAGAGTTCAGCGCACTCAAGTTATCGTTGGCATTATTGGATTTTTTTGTATTCTCCCAGATTTTTTCCATTCTCCACTGTTCTGTACTGGAACCATATCCGCTCAATTGCTTCTTTTTTTCCCACACGTTGGACTTGGGCATAACGCTATTCTGGACATTCGTCTATATATATATTTTTTTAAAGTTCCAACATAAGATAAGCAAATTTTCTGGAAGTACTGGGAATGTTTATTTTTATCCACTCGACCAATCTACAATCAAATGCAAGCAGAATGGCACTCTTTGTTTAAACATTTTATTTTCAAATAAAGGTAAAGTGTATTCTTCTTTAATGTCGGATGCTCTGGTGCACGTGAGTCGAGCAGGTCTTTCCTCCGTCTCTAAAGTAAACACGGTCTCGTGTTGCATGACTTCACAACTTTATGTGTACTTATACAGTAGCCTATAGTGATACGAACTCAATGCAAATGCGTAAAATATTATTATATGTTGTGTTTGATTACGAACTAATGCTAATCCTTTATTTTTGTTTGTTCGTTTCCTCTATGCATCGTCATGTGATTGATTTGACGGCTGCACAATAGTACTGAACCACTCACGCATCTAGCGGGCAAGGGAGCTCAATCCGGCAGACGTTGGATGATGGCCAGGCCGCTTTCACAGCTCCTTCCCCCGGACCTTCCCTCTGCCGGAGCCAGTCCGCAGTTTGCCAACAGTAACCAGGCAGGAGGCTCACTTAATGGAGGACACTTAAACTCAACAGCAAACTTAAAGTCGCTCCTGCAGCTTCCCGTGAAGGGCGACCAGCGCGTCAAAGACTGTAGTGAAATGAAGGGTGAGGAAACGCACCTGCTTCCCTTACACTCAGTGTGTGTATTATAATGTACAGGCTCTATCAACCTTTTGTGTGTGCTCCTTTAGACAGTCAAAATAATGTGTTAATAGTCACCATTCCAGTTAGTTTCCTGATTATCACGATTAGTGTGTTATTTCAATGCGTGGTTTGTTTCACATGTCAAATGGCAAAGCCATGTGCATTTGTGCGTATCTCTCAGTGAGCCGCAGACAGGACATCACATGTGACTAGAAGAGATAAACAAGGCTAGGCCATTCAGCCACTTAGCTCTCTACCCAGGTACTTCGAGGTCAGCTATTGGCTAAGCCATTTTAGCCATTACAGACCTGCATAACCACACAGACAGATGTTTTCCATTGCCTGCAAATACAACGTGATTATTGGAAAGGCTTCTTTATTGATTGCTGTCAGTGTTTTGCACTGATTATCTAGTTACCATTAATGCAAACTTAACTGACCCTGAATAGTCAAGTAGAAAATCACTAATTCAGTGTCTATCCACTTTGTATGTGCATGCGGCTTGGGAATTACATTAGCTGACATTAAAAGCACTGCCATTTCAAATGATTCAAGAACAGCTTTTACTCTTTTTGTGTTTGTTTTTAAGCATTGGTGTTTTAGGCGACAGTCTGCAGTTTTTTTTATTGGGAAAAGAACGCAAACTTAAACAAAACACAGTTACATTTTTATGGTTTGTTTTTATACAGTATGACTAAACCAGAAATGTCTCATTTCAAACTGCCTTTGCTAGTCCTGGTTTCCACACCAATGCACCGTAAAATGCCCGATTTAGCCTAACCAGTGTTGTTAAAATTTTAGACCCCACCTAAATAGTTTTAGATGGAAACCTTCAGACTTAAGACCTAATGTTTTAGTTTCGCATTGTACCTGTCCATTAGAATTGTTTTTATACCAACTAAACTTAACCAGTCCCACACTACTCTATATCTCAGCAGAGCTATGTAGTATTGCATTGTTGCCTTTTGCGTCATGGCTTTGGTTTAGCCATAATACGGTAGTTTTGTAACGTTTAGCCATTGTTCAATGGTATTGTTGCTGTACCACCACAGACTTAAGCAGTGTCACTGCGGATGTAACATTGTAATCGCTTTACCATGGTCTTTCAGGAATGTCAAAACACATTAATCTTTTGCAAGTTAAGGCTCTTCGTTTTGCATTGATGCTCCGAGAGTCAGAGCTATTCACAAGTGTTGACATTGCAGAGGTAGTTCTCCCAGAGGGATGTGAAAGTAGCTGGGAAGTGCAATTCTTCCCCTAACTACGTAACCGTAGCGCCATCAGAAATATTGATCGCTTGAAATCAAGTCAAGTCAATATGTGTTCATGAGAATAGTTCGTTTTGTCTTTTTAGATTGCTCGAGATATGAAAGTAATATTATCTGCAGATTAAATCGGATTTCACTTTCCTTATAGGTAAGGACAGGTTGGATATGGATGAGGACTCTCTTGGCCGTTGTCCTATGCGCAACGGCTGCAACAATGGACTAGCCACTGACAGCAATGGAGCAGGCACTGGCAGCTTCTCAAACAGCAACAACAGTTCCTTCCTGGGCCCGTTGCTATGGGAACGAACATTGCCGTGTGATGGCGGGCTATTCCAGTTGCAGTACATGGATCTCGAGGAGTTTCTGACAGAGAACGGGATGAGCAGCATGCACAGTACCTCCAACTCCACCTCAGCTCAGATACCCTCGCAAAGCTCTCAGTCGGCCATTCCCAACCAGGGCTCCCAGTGCCTGCCCACCTCGCCCCCACACTGCTCCTCTTCGTCCTCACCGACATCCTCCACCTCCTCTTCCTCGCCCTCTCTGCTTGGGCTGGACATGCATACGCCGCAAAGCATGATGGGAACGGGGAACGACTGCTTGCACGGTGAGTTTTCTTTCGCAACTTGCTGCTGCGGAACATGAGCTAGAGAGGATGTTAAAAACCCACGAGACGAACGGTCTGAGGGCAGGCTGTCGAGATGAAGAAAGGAAACGCTGTGGGCCGAAAATGAGGTCTAACGCGCTTCAAACACTTCCCCCATTCTGCTTACAAGAATTCCCCGGGATTTTCGTCCATTTGCGAGTTGTAAAAAGCACCAGCCTTGTCCCTTGGGTGTGTGTTACTGTAGTTTCAGAGTATTAATGGTTTGGGTGTGTGCGTGTTTTTATGAGTGTGGATAGATGCTATTTCACTATTTGGATTGTCAAGAGGCTTGGGTGTTTTTTTTTTTTGTTGTTGTTTTTTTGTAGTGAGTGTTAGAGGGTGTGCAGCTGTTGTGTTCTATGTGTGTTGTTTAATAGGTATTCTGTCAAATCAATTAATCGCAATTATTCCCATCTAACATAAACGTAATTGTGTGTATGTTTGTTTGTATCTATATATATATATATACACACACACACACAATTTATATTTACAAACTTTTATGTTAGATGCGATTAATCGATTTGACAGCACTTTAACATTGCAAAAATTTAATCAAAAGTGAAAAATTTGCTTGTTTTTGGATGCTACAGTATATGAAAAGATTGGGCTGGTTAGAACTGTATAAAAAGACTTGCAACAATGAAAAAGAGGATAGGGATGACAGCACGTGAAAAGAGAGGAAAAGATTGTGATATAGATTTGAGAACATGATGGCGATTGAAGGGCTGGGAAGTAAACAGTGAGGGACACACAGGTGAGCCAGAAGCAAAGAATGAAAGGCAGAGACGGCGTGTTTGTGATTGTGCTCGCATGTTTTTAAATCTCCTCCTCTTCTCACACGCTTGGTCCATGTGCTCTCGCTCGCTCACGTGCCGAGGCAGGCAGAGCGAGGACGGGGAGGGGCAGAGGAGAGGAGGTGTGTGTGTGTGTGTGTGTGGGAGTGTGTGTGACACACACAGACAGGGAGAAACTGAAAGATTGAGATGGAATGACTCAGTGCGAGTTGATGCTGTACTTCCCATTAGATGTTTGTTTACATTTCTGTAGTGACTGAGAAGAGATAGAGAGAGATTAAAAGTGCTGCTGGTAAATATTTAGATTGTTCAGGGCGATTAAATAGCACATGCTGAAGCCATCACATCACATATCTTCACAGATTTGATCAAGTAAAAAAAGAGGACCTGTGTCAGTGCATGTGCAGCAGTGGACAGTAAAAAGAGGATCGTTGCCAAATGGGGTTAAAGTTACTCTTAAGGGTACTTTACAGGTTTTAGATTAGGTTTATGGCTCAAACAGATTTTCAAAACATGGCAACAGGAATTTTGTTGTGCTGTCGTGACAGGGTTCACTTTAACTACACACAGTCACACACACATATAATATATATATATATCTTTTCAGTATTTAATATTATTTTCATGGAGGTGTGTATGGGGTTGTGACTTAGTTAAGTTTTTTTTTTTTATTAGGAAAAATATGTATGTGTTCTTATTTATTTATTTTTATTTTTTTTAACCAATTTAAATAGTTTACCAAGGTATGGTTACGAGTATGTGTGTGTCCGTGTTTTATTTTTTAAAATGAATTCTTATTTATCTTTAGCTCACATTATTCCCTTGCAGATGTGTATGTTGTTCTAAGTTAAGTATATATTAAATATATCTGAGGAAAAAACAATAATATATGTGTGTTTGTATATGTATATGTGATTCACTATCAATTTATTTGTGGAATGAAAGTAATCATTTATAAAATGAAACCACCATTTCAATGTTCTGAAATCCAGAGATCAGGGTAGAAATATTGGAAAATGGAAAACGAGACAGATTGGTGGATTGAGTTGTTGTTTGCTGCCTGTTACTGCCCCCTTGTGGGTCGTCTGGGTAGAGTTTTGAGAGTCCCTGATTATTCTGATTCTGAATGCATACATTTAGCAACGTGACTTAATCAAGGCATCTACTTTGTGTCTACCTTCAGGCACTCCACCAGGCAGCTTGGAGCCAACACCCTCACCATCTTCCACTACATGTCCACCGCTCCCTACTACACCCAATACTAACTGCAATGAGGTGGTGCCGTCCTTTGACCCAGATCCCGCAGACGTCGCACTGTCGAGTGTGCCTGGACAGGAGGCGTTTGACCCACGCAGGCATCGTTTCAGTGATGAAGAGCTCAAACCTCAGCCCATGATTAAAAAGGCTCGCAAGATGCTTGTCCCTGAAGACCTAAAGGTGAGAATCTTGGACATAATTCATATCATTTATTAGAGGTCCTAAGATATTTATGTTCATAATCTTGCCAGCTGTGATGCTACATGTTTTCCTTATCTCTTGGTCATATGAACGTGCGGATTTTGTGAAACGTACTTTTTGTTATGACAGCTTATAGTCAATATTATTTTGTAGCTGTGAATCTAAGCACCACAAGTCATCTCTCACAGTGTAGGTCCCGCATTTTTCCTTTTTGTCGCCATCTCTGTTTGAAATCTGCAATTGCAGTCATTTGCGGAATCATCAACTTTACGTGAGTTGGACTTCAACACCCTCGACACGGCACATTGTGGATGAACACAATGTTTGAGGAGACTGTGCAGCTGTCAGTCACAGCGCTGATGTGGATACTGTCATTCAGAATCACAGATTATTCTTTTTGGAAGTATGACCAACATTAGAATTTTCACTGGAAAATTTCATCTGAACTAGTAAGAAACAATCGCTTATAAGTTATTATCATTTCGCACAAAATTCGCTGCAATTTATACTTTGTTCTCAAATTGTTAATGTTAACAACGTCAGCATTGCGTGACTACATGTAATGTCCTTCCGATATGTATCCTTGTTTTCGCATGGGTCCGGTTGCAGTCTCTTTTTTTCTGTAGCCACTCCGAAGTCCGAATGAAGTCTTTTGAATTTTACAGCGGGTGAATCTGTTGTCACTGGTGATTGTCGTTTTAACCCAAATTGCCAAGTTTAATTATATCAAGTGCAGTGAGAAAAGGCTATAAATCTCTACCTCAAACATCCTCACATGCTATGTAGCCTACTAGCGAGACTGCTACAGATGTGACGTAATGATGCAAAGACACACTCGAATCTCCCGTGGAAATCCACCAGTACCACTGGAATTAAAAACATTATTACAAGCTTACCGGTTCGAGCTAAGGCAAGCAGATAGTTTTGAACACTGGCTGGTTATGTATTTTCTCAAATATGTCTTTTGGATCATTTTTAACCCAGAAAAAGGCACAGACTGCAGCTTTAAAGTGTTTTAGCTTTTACCGGATTATTTGGTAAAAATGTAGAAATAGTTTCTGTGCCACTTATTCATAGATATTGGATGTAAAATCCCACTCTCATTTCGTCCAACAGGCCTGGCGTTCTTCATGCCTCTATACAAATCCAGTAATGCAGATGTTAGGCATGTTTCCATCAGTACAGATGGTGACATTGTGATATTGTCAATAACAACTAGATTTCAAAATTAAATTAAGACATTCAAAATCATCATCAGTTCTTTAAACCCATTACTAGAATAGTTTTAGTATTATGAAGTAATTTATAAAGTATGTCACATTGATTGACCTGATCATGTCTCAATTCTGAGGCAGATGTCTTGGAAACCGAGGTTCTCAAATATGTCATTTTTTTTGTTATAAAGGGCACAGCAGTCAAAAGGGGGAATTCCTTTGTAATCACAGTGACCTCTCCTCTGGGAACAAATGGAAGTTTTGAATACTTGGAAAGGAAGCAACATTCTTTAATGAGTTGTTGTTGTTGTTTTTTTTAATGCAGGAGTTATCTTTTACTTGACATCATGTCTTTCCAAACCTATGGAACTGGTTTTGTGGAACAAAACAAGTTGTTTTTTTGTTTTGTTTTTGGAAGAATGTTTCAAATCAATCACATTTTTAAAAGAAAACCAAGATTTTTAGTGTTCTGAAAGGCTTAAAAAAATTAGCTTTTATTTTTGTTTGTGTTGGTAATTATTATTTTTTTTTTTTTTATCTTTAAGATTAGCTTTGGTTTAACTAGAAGTAAAATGACCCCAAACTCGTTTTCATGAGGGAACTGCAGGGGTTCGCAAGTTGATGAAAAGCGGATAATTAATTAAATCATAAAAATGCAAAACTGAAATAAAATGCATACTAAAACATATATTTGGCTTACCATGTCATATGACGGCTAACTGACAGCTTTAAATGAATAAATAATTATTTGGATTTCGAAAAAACTGGAAAAAGTATTATAGCATAATGGGAATTGACACTTTTATGAGAATGTATTTATTCAAACAAGATTTGTTACTGTTTTTTTATGACACCAAATGTACTGTTCCTCACCACTACTGACAGAGTGGTGTGAACCACAAGTCTGGCACTTTGAGAACAGTCACAGAACCTCAGTCAAATCTCAGACTGTATGCTGGTTTAAAGCCATTTCTCGCTGAAATGTCACCTCAGAGCTGCTATAGAAAACCTCAAACACTTACATATGAACACACACAAATCCCAGTCACACATCTGGCAAAGCTCCACACCTACCGTTGTAGACATGTTCTAATGTATACTTTTTTTTTCCTTCTTTTTTTTTGTGAAGGATGAGAAGTATTGGAGTCGGCGCTGTAAGAACAACGAGGCCGCAAAGCGTTCTCGCGATGCCCGTCGACTGAAGGAGAACCAGATCTCTGTGCGCGCCGCCTTCCTCGAGCGTGAGAACGCGACACTCAGACAGGAAGTAGCCGACATGCGCAAAGAGCTCGGCCGGTGTCGTAACATCCTGAACAAATACGAGAGCCATCACTTGGATCAATAAGAAGGAGAGGGAGAAAACGCAAAACCAGATGATGGATGGAGAACGCAATGAATGTTCCTACGATAGGCACGCTAAAAGACAGATGGAAAGTGCATCAAATATGGAAGGATGTCTGAAGACGGCACAAGAGCTCAAGTTTCAAACTGGAGTGAGAGAGCATGTCACCTCTCTTGACTTTTTTTTTTTTTCCTAGTAAGGTACAATGGCAAGATTTTAATTATGGAGAGAAATGTATATTTTTATAAGATAGAACAATGCTTAATGGTGAAAGGAAAATTTTGAAATTGATTTTTGTATATTTTCTATATCTTTGGGAGGGCTGTAAAGTATGGACGGAGGGAACTGGTTGAGGTATCTGTAATTTAAAATGAATCGATGAGGTATTTTTGAAGCGATCAACTGAAAAATTGAAGCCTAGACTTTCACAGAACTTTAAAGATTTAGAAAAGGACTTTCTAGAGAAATTAAACTGTAAAATACGGAGAAAAAAAAATATACCTTTAAATTTGTATAAAAATGTTAATATAGATTTATTCAAGCACTTAAGTTGTTGTAATAAACCTGTGTGTGATATTTTGACTGAGGACAGCCAAGGATGAGGGGAAATGACAGGTGCATCTCAACATTGTTTATCAGTTTACTGCTGATATTTATTTGTCATTCTCAAAGGAAAACTAAACATGTAATGATGATACGGAGATGGTTCAGAAAGACATGCATTAATTGTCACATATTTTATTGCCATTTTTGTGTTTATTTCCTTGGTGAACTCTGTAGGATTCTTCTCATCTTTTTATAGGAATCTGACTCACAGTTGCAAACAAAAAACAGCTTTTTAGCAACAGCACACATCCACAACGTGCAGATCGTAAGTGAACTTGCAGAGGCTGTTCTTGCTGTGCAAAAACACAATTTGGACCTCTATGGATCGAATATATATATATATATATATATATATATGGGACGTGACTTTCATCTGATTGTACAGAATGATTTCTTATCTTGGAAGCACGGGAAATTGCATTTCAGAACAGGTTGACATGTAGACATTTGGCTATGTCTGCGCTTTTGCTGGTTTTGCACCTGTATATGCAAACACATTGAAGCCAATGGGCGCTCTTACTTTTATTGAAACAATATTGAATTTTTACAACCTGTTTACTGGTGTTAGTACAAATGTTTCAAAATCTATTAGTTTTGTGGTTCCTCGCTGGTTCTCCAGTCATGTATGTTTCTTTCCTTAACGGCCATTAAAGTAACTTCACTTATTATGAATTATTATTGATCTGATCATTATTATTACTATTGTTGTTAATACTACGAATTAATTCTTATTTTTGTTGTTTTATTTCCTTGATATTGTCTATTTTATGTTCCTTTAAAGAACTCCCCCAGAAGTCTCCTCTCAGCTGTGGATATTTTGTCAGTTCCTCTTTGTTACAGCATTCATCGTCAACACCGGTTATAGAAGAAGTGTTGCCCTGACAGCCAGCTCAATTTGTGTATCAAAGGAACACTGGGATAGAAAAAAAAAAAAACTGGTGCCCTAGGTGATAACAAACTGCTTCCCCGAAATAAATGGATTTTGTTCTCTTTATTTCTGAGCACTAGCATTATAAACACCCATCATACCATTTGCTCTGTCTTTCTCTTTTTTGTGCATGTAGGTGTTTTAGCAAACCGCCTTTTTTACCCAGTAATTTGCTGCCTGTTTCTCATCAGTGACAATATACTTTTTGCAGATGGATTTTGGGGTAATGTAGTCCTTACTTTTCTGCACTTCCTCATGTGGATGACTATGAACATTTTGTGTTGTGACTTGTTTTTTTTTTTTTTTTGGATGTACAAATGCCCTAATGCATCAGTGTTACCCACACTGCACCTAGCCAAAGTAATGCAGGGGAATGTAGTCTTTTTCTCCAAGACCACAAATAAACTCTTGTTCTTACTCACTAAACACTAAGGTTGATTATTTTGTATGTCGTTTGTGCCTATTCTGTGCTACCAAGTCACTTCCTTACTAAAAAAATTGGTCATTAATAAAGCTCAGATCCGGATGATGTGTGTTCTTGAATTTTAATCGGCACTGCAAACAGCAGTCTGTCAAACAGATGTAGCTTGTAGAAAAACTTAGCTAATACACAATGCACAGTTCAAAAAAGGCTGTGCCCTTACAGACAAATATTTCTAAATTTTTAAGATGTGTACACGTCTAGTACAATTATGTGGTTTTGTTTCATTAATACAGTATACTTTTTTCTTGAGTTTCCCCCGAAAGAGTGGAAGTGACCATAGGTTTTTACTGCTTAAAATGTGGTAATAAGACAAACTAAAATATTTTATGAACTTTTTCATATAATGGCATTGTTTAATAATTAAAAATAAACCGATTTTTGAGTTTGACAATGAACACACTGGCAAACACAGCTAACAATCACCTTTTATCATTGTTTTTCAATAGAATTCATATAGAATAGCATAGTTCTAATAAGGGCACATTCATTGTAACGTAGTGTTACAACATGCCCCACCTGTGTAACTGGGATTTAAACCCAGCTAGTGTCTTCTGCTGGTTAGATCAGCATTAAAGAATTATCTCAACAACAGATTGGAGATTAAAATAATATCAGATTTGTCTAATTTAAAATAAACACCAAAAATAGAGATGAAAAGATAACATGAGTAAGAAATTTACTTTTGCTATGGTTGAATAAATGGTCAGTGATATCTTCCAAAGATTTCTGAATTTTGGCATAATTGTTTCTCTATATAGTGTTGATATATGGCAACTAGTAAATGCACTAAGTTTCGTTGAGCAAGCTACTATGTGTGGAAGTATTAAACAAGTGTGTTACAACGAGCCCTGTGATAGGTTGTGCCCTGCTCCTATACAGTAAATGAAGAGGTAGCCTACTCAAATACTTAAAATCATACAAAGATACTTGTAAAGAAAATGAATTGGAAAAAGAATATATATATATATATGCAGAAATAAAAATTTGGATTTTTGGGTCTTCAAATATTGTCTTCGATGATTGCAGGCCTTGGAGTCAGAAAGGTTTAAATCCGCTGCTCTAGGAACCTTTTCAGGGTATTTGAAAAATCCTATTGTGCTCTCAAGGTCAACTAATATTTCAAGTGCATCAAAACCCTTTTCCTGTGATGAGGAACTCTTGATGGCTCTTATGGATTTATGGGTCCAAATTAGGATGTTCTACAAAGAACTCTGTCTCTTTTTAAAAGGTGCCAATAGGATTACCAAAGGATTCTGCTGGGCAAACCCAGGAATCCCACAGTGTAGTTTATGGTCCAGACGTAATCTAAGCACATGTAGACGTGTATCACCTCAGTGTCCTCACAGAAAGCGGAGAGGAACAGACAGGGAAATCAACACATGAAGGCCTTGGTGAGTTGCCCTCTCTGACCAGTAAACAACAGCTTAAAGACTATCGTCTTTTGTGGATGTATGTTGATCTTTGAGAGATAAAGAGGTATGTTTCATTTACTGAGTGTGACATTCATCAAAAGGGTGAGATAAATCAGTGGACGTAGCCTGAATGTGATTGTTGGTTTAGCTGGTCGCTCTGTGTGGGAGCGTTTCACGTTTATCTGTCAAAGTGTGTATTTACTCTTGCTAAATGCAGTTGGTTCTTTTCTGTTTTAGGATGCTGAGTTTAATTGTGGTGTGTCACTCTTGATGTTTAACAGACACTTTGTTACAGTATTCGACTTGGCACTGTGCGTCTGTATGTGGAGAAGAGTGAATCCACGAGGCCTGTCATTTGATGTGGGGGTAAGTGTTCAAGCTCTTTTGGCATCAATGGAATTGGGTGAAAGGTCTTTTTTTCTGTGGAATTCAGTATTCAAAACACTCAATACGATCCAGATGTGTGTGTGCATGTGTGGCAGCTCCACTCCTCCCTCGCCATCACACCATCACAATACCCCCTCCTCCAGACTCTCCCCCATCTTTATATTCCCCCTTCTATCCCACTACCTCTTTCATAACCTCTACAGTAAGTGTCAGGGAAAGATGGAGCGATCTCTACTTGTGTTTCTTCTGTGTGTGTGGGCCCTCAGCAGCCTGGCTGCAGCATCAGGTGAGTGTGTAAGTGTGCGTGGGTGGCTGAAAGAAAATGAAAGGATTATGGATGGCTTTCCATGTAAAACTGTTTTTTTTTATGATTTGTTAATGAATATTGAATAAATGACAGCTCATTTGATAGATTTTTGCCTTAGAGACTCTAGTTTTAAACTGGAGGTTCAGTATTTATTATTCATATTTTCTATTTAAAGACACATTTTGAGTCTCCATTACATTGTTTATGAAATTTCTGTTCAGCCAAAAATGAAAAGTCATTCTTTATTTACTTGTTACTGTCAAACTGCATGGTTAATTTATTCTGTACAACACACAATACATTTTGAAGAATGATTCAACTGTTTTTGCGAATACAAATAAAGTCAATGGGGTCCAAAACAACTTCAGACTCCACTGACTTTTATTGTAGGATAAAAAAAAATGACATTAAAAAAAATTGTGTTAACCATCCATGTAGATACATGTTCATTTGATCATTTTCTATCATTCCCTCCCTTTCACGTATTGCCTTGAGAATCTGTTTCTTAGAGCAAGTTTTCCATGAAATACGGAACACACACACACACACACACACACATGCAGTAGCCTATATCATCTTCTTTTTCAGCTCAAAATCATTGTTGAAATGCTTTATTGTGTTAAGCTCTTTCATTACTACTAATATTCTGTTTAATTGTAAGCATGTAACATTCCTGTTTCCTGTTTATGGGTGGGCTAAATCCATAACACTGTCAGGTTTATGTGGATGTATTGTGTGTTAAACACCTGGTTCAGCTCTTGGGCAGACTGCCAGACATTTAACAGCCCGCTATTTTATGGCATGGTTAAATAGTTAGACAGACAAATGCATAATGGATTTAAAATGTGTTGATGGCATAGACACTATATATGTACTCTCTTATGCTTACCAAGATTGCATTCATTTGATCAAAATACAGTAAAAACAGTACAACTGTGAAGTATTACATTACACTGACTACTAGAGTAATGATTCTGAAAATTCAGCTATGCCATCACAGGAATGAATTACACCTTAAAATATTTTAAAATAGGAAACGATTATTTTAAATTGAAAAAATATTTCACAATTTTGTAGTTTTTACTGTATTTTTGATAAAAATGAATGCAACCTTAAGCATAAGAGACTTCTTATTATGTGTGTCAGCCCACCTGCCTGTGAAACAACTTATGATATGCATATTGTCTTTATTTCTGTACAGTGGATGTAACAGAACAGTGCCCAGAGAGAATACTGGGTAATGAGAGACGGCAAACATGCCCAAAAAAGTGTCAGCAAGATAAAGACTGTGGCAACAAACGTCAGTGTCTCTGCGACGGGCAGTGTGGACTCAGCTGTGTGGCCCCAGGTCAGAGCAAGAAATCCCATAATACATTTGTTATGAACCTTAAAAGCAAATAAACCCTAAAAAATGTACAAAATCTATAATATATTATAAGGCAGTGTTCACAGTTTTCATCTGAGTATTCTTTGTGAACAGGTCGTACGTGTCCGTGGCCTCTCCCACCTGCAAAAAATTCGGATGTGGATCTCCTTTCCCCTTTGCCCTCTTTCTCCGCTCTGCTAAAGGTTCGTTGTAAGCCTGGATACACCATGCATAACGGGCTGGACGCTACAATACGACGCTGCCAGGGTGACCGGCAGTGGAGTGGAGATGAGCCTGTCTGTACAGGTAGAAAGGAGTAAACATTTAAACTGTTATGTATTGGGGTTTTTTTTTTACTGTTTTTACAAAACATATTGTTTCAAAGCAGCTTTACAGAAAATTACATCAGTCCTGTTGGGTCAGGATGACCTTATCTTGTTTTTAAAGTTATTAGCAATATTATGGTGGTGATATTTTGCGCAGCCAGCAATGAATGTGAGAAAACAGGAGAAATATGTGTGCATAATAATGCATTTGGTTGCATGAATATTATGGAACAAAAGCTTGGAGCTTGTGGACCTGGGTCAGCGCTTATTTCTGGATGGTGGGGTTTTAGTCTAAAGACTCCAGATCTGTGAAGAGGAGGCGTAAATCGGCTGAGCTCCAGGCTGCAGCATTCCCAGAATCACCCCCTCTGCAACACATGCACACATTCAAACGCTCATTTCCTGGAGTAACATGAGAGGTATTTCTAGGAATGAGCTGTCAAAAGAGCCGAGGTGTGGGCGTTTGGGGTCTGTGAGATCTGTCCTGCAATACTCTATTATCTGCAGATCAGTGACATGGAATATGTAACAAGCAGAGACAGGCATGTAGAAGTGTCGGATTCACACACAAAGTTCAAGTGCATTCAAAGCTGAATTCATGTACAATGGAAGTTTGGTGTATGTGCGTGTTGACTGTATGATTTCCTCCCCCTTCATTAATCAGTCATCCTCATAAAAGAGGGATTCGATGCATACTGTAACTGAATGAGTCAACTGCACAGGAGGGAATGTGAGAACAGCTTGTTCCAGATTTTTCTGATAAAGCTCAAAATGAAGATGTACATTCTGTCCATCCATCATCAGGGAAAATGCTCAGCCACATGGTGACCTGTAAATCCATTTGTTAACCCTATTTACCTATCAGTTCATTCAGTATTGTAGGTTACCACATCTAGTGCAGTGGATAAAAGCACCATGCCATTATCCACAGGGTCATCTATTCGGATTCCTTTTCCGACCATGTATCAAAAATTAGGGAAGCTGAATAACGGAGGGCTTTTGACCGGAAATTATCTTCACCGTCTGAACTCTTGTTTTGAAATTATGTGGAAAAAAAGGCATTTACCACCCCTTAACCATGCATGAGAACCATTTAAAAGACAACTCCGGCGCAAAATGAAACTTTGGTCTGAACCTTTAAATG